ACCCCTCGGGGAAAGAGGGGCAGCGGGGAGGAGAAGAGAGCAGGGATTCTGGTTTTTCTGCACGGGGGAGGGAAGGCAGCCCATCCCCGGGGGCGGCTTACCGGGGAAGTCGCAGCGGTAAGGCCGCTCGGGCTCCAGGTGGCTGCGGCGGCGGTGGGCGGCGAGGCGGGCGGCGCTGGGGAAGCGCTGCCCGCACGCCTCGCACTTCTGCGCCGCCTCCTGCTCGTGGGCGCGGCTGTGCGCCCGCAGGTTGTACACGGTGGTGAAGCGCTTGGCGCAGCCCGGCGCGGCGCAGGCGAACGGCCGCAGCTTGTCGTGCGAGTGCAGGTGCCGCCGCAGCTTGTAGGCCGTGGCGAAGGACCAGGCGCAGCCCGGCACGGGGCAGCCGAAGGGCCGCGCCACCGCGCCCCGCCCGTCCTCCCCGCCGCCGCCGCCGCCGCCGTGCGCCGACAGGCGGTGCAGCCGCAGCTGCTGCTTGCGGGGAAAGGCCTCCCCGCAGCGCGGCTCCGGGCACGGGAAGGCGGGCGGCGAGCGCGGCCGCGGCCCGCCCGGCGGCTCGGCGGGGCTGGAGGCGGCGCCGGGCGGCGCGGCCCCCGCGGGCTGCTCGGCGCCGGGCCCCAGAGTCAGCACGCCGTTCTCGATGCGCACCAGCAGGCTCTGGTTGTTGATGGTGATGGTCCCCGAGAAGGCGCCGTCCTCCGCCGCGCCGCCATCGCCGCCCGCGGGGGGCAGCGGTGCTGGCGGCGGGGGAGGAGGAGGAGGAGGAGGCGGCGGCGGTGGCGGCGCCGAGCCGGGGGCCTCCTCCGGCGGCTCAGCGGGCGGAGGGCCGGGCTGGGCTCGCCCCGCTTCGCCGCCGCCCGCGCCGCGCACCACGTTGAAGACAAGCAGGAGCCCGTCGTTGTCGGGCGCGGGCCCCGCCGGCGGCGCGCTGGGCGCGGGGCTGGCGCCGGGCTCCGGCTTCTCCTCCACCAGCAACACCGGGAAGCTCACGTAGAGGCCCGGCGCGATGGTGCTGCCGGCGGGGGAGGGCGGGGCGGCGGCGGGCGGCGGGTCCCAGCCGGGCGGCGGCGGCGCGGCGGGGCCGCCATGTTGCGCGGCGGGCCGGGCCCGGGCCGCCTCCGCGGCCGGCAGCCCCTGCGTTTCCATCTTGGGGGTCCCTGTAGCAGCGCCTGAAACCGGAGCCGCGGGGCGGGGCCGGCGCGGCCGCCGCGGAAACGCGGAGAGCGGAATCACGGACGGGGTGGAGCGGGAGGCGCTGGGGAAACCCGGAGAGCGGAGCTGAGGACGGCGCGGAGCGGGGCTGCCCCGAGGGGGGCAAGACCGCCCGCCCCGGTCGAGTGTCGCGCACCGCAATAGGCACAGGGGGCACCGCTGGAATCGTCTCGGCTCCCTGGGGGTTATTCTGGTTTTTATTCATGCTAATTTGGGAGCCCCTGGTGGTCTAGTATTTAAGGACGCGGTGCTGTCTCTGCTGAGGCCCGGGTTCGATTCCCGGACAGGGCCACCCCCCAAGCAGATGGAGCTCGTTAGCTCTGTAAGGCAATCCATCTACATCCTGAGGACCTCGCTGCCACCGTCCAAGCGTGCTTGGCCCCGGCAGATGAACCTCAGGATTAAAGGGTGGGCTCAGTTCCGCGCACACTGTGTCTCACCTAAAAAATCCAATGCGCAGGCTGGAAGGTGGAAAGACCTTCCCCGGATCTTCATTCGCGAAGACTGGCCATTATTCGTGCGAATAGCCAGGAACAGTCACAGAATTGTTAGGCTGGAGGGGACAGCTGGAGATTATCCAGTCCAACCCCACTGCCAAAGCAGGGTCACCTGGAGCAAGTGACACGGGAACGTGTCCAGGTGGGTTTTGAATGTCTCCAGAGAAGACTCCATTACTTCCTCGGGCAGCCTGTTCCAGTGCTCAGCCACCCTCAATGTAAAGAAGTTCTTTCTCATGTTGAGGTGAAACTCCTTTGTTGTAGTTTACAGCCACTGCTCCTCATCCTCTTGCTGGGTGCCACTGAGAAGAGTCCAGCAACATCCTCTTGGCACCCACCTTTGAGATATTTATATGCATTAATAAGATCCCCTCTCAGTCTTTTCTCCTCTAGACCAAACAAGCCCAGATCACACCATCTCCCCTCATAACAGAGATGCTCCAGCCCCATCATCATCTTTGTAGCCTCCACTGGACCCTCTCCAGTAGCTCCTTGTCTTTTCTGTACTGAGGAGCCCAACCCAGAACTGGACACAGCACTTGGAATGTGGTCTCACTAGGGCTGAGTAGAGGAGGAGGATCACCTCCCTCAACTGCTGTGCAGGAGCAATACTGAGGTTGCAGCCACATTCAGAGTCCTGTGATAGGTAAATAGTTTGGCAAAACACTACAAATTCAGCTAATGCAGAAAACTTTTTTTTAATTCTCCTTCTTGGGCAAAGCTTTCTGTAGGAGAATGTTCAGCTGCCTTCTGGCTCTCCATCACCTAAGGAAAAGGCAAAATTATCCTGTATTTGCCATGGAAGTTCACTTAGTTCTCTCCTGCCTTGGAACTCACACGCAGTCCCAGCAGATGGTGCTGTGATCCTTCCAATGCTCAGATTATTCCTCCTTTCTGGGGAGCAATTTAGCTTAGGAAATGGCTGGCCAGGCACTCAGTGAAACTGAAGCACCCAAAGCTCCACTGTGCATGTTCAGAGCCACTTGTGCATAGTGTGAAGTCCTTGGGTTCTTGAGCTCGGCCTTCTCTGAAATCCTCCTCACGCCACTGCTGACTGCCACTGGGTGTGGGTCATCCCTGGTATTGGCTGCCCCCAGCCCCCCAATCTCCCTGTGGAGATCTTTGAGCTATTTTCCTTTGTGTTCCTAGGAAAAAGTAGGTCTTCCCCCCAGTTTATTGCTTACCACAAAGGTGAATCCCTGTTTGAAGGATACCAAACCTGAACGAGATAACAAAACATCTCAAATCTCTTATGTTTGCCAGAGCCTGGAGAAATTCAACAAGACCCTATTTAGGAGAACCAACAGCTCTCTCATGTCATAAACTTTATACTTTAAAAAAACCACTATTTCTACAGCCATGAGTGCTCTCTCTGCAACCAGGCACAAGGTTTTTGGGATAAGTGTCTGCATTTTAGGATAGCATTGAGGTAGTAAGATTTAGCAGCTCTAAGGGAGCACCTCTATGTTACTTAGTACAGAAAAGCCAGTGTATTTTCTGGTTGTTCCTCTGGACAAAGCAGTGCCTAGTGCTTTTGGGCTATGAAGATTGGAATGGTTTTGTACAATACCAATACACTAACTTTGGACCCAGTCCACTGTGATTATTAATAACAGGTAATGTATAACATATGTCAAAGCAAAGGCTGTCAAATCTGGCTGACAACTACTCACATCTCAATCGTCTAACTAGGCAATATGGGCAGGTTTTTCCATAATGTAAAGCAATTCCTATCAGCTGCAGATTGCACTTCACAGAAGGTTCGGTTTCAAGCAGATGCCAGACTCTCACTATTCATCTGGAGACATACAGTACGTGAACAGAGTAAAGAATTCATCTGTGATTCAAAATAAATAAATAATACTTAGCACCAGAGGCAATACAGAGCTGCAGAGTGAGCTCACCTGTGTGTCCCATTGGATATAGTAATTGTATAGTTTCTCAAGACCCCCAGTCCTGAGGACTGCAGCTCATCACGTCCCATCTACAGCAGCCCATGCAGGTTTACGTGTGTAGCAGCCCTTTCTGTTCCAAGAGGTAATGGATACAGTGCCAAGGAGATTGAGTGACAGGCCAGATCAAGTCCAATACCACATGTGCACTGGGGGAAGCGACTGGTGACACTGTGTTCATGTTGGAGCGAGGCCCATGTGCAAAAACCATGCTTACCATGAGACAGGATAGCTAAGAATTATTTTTGTACACACAAATGTGTAGATGTGTATGTAAAACATGCCTCTATAAATATATCCAAGTATGTATCTGTCACTATGTGTGTGTACAGGGGCTTCAAAGCCAGCCTGGATTCTTGTTCAGCATCACAGCTGATTAGAACAAGATACTTCGATGAGTTACTGTTAACATAGATGTAATAGCAGGCTCAGGTGCAAAACATGCAATTCTTCAGTTGCACCTGGGCACATGAGGTTCTGTGCCTTCCTAACCCTTCTCAGGAAGAAGGAAGACTGAAAATACCTTTCTATCGCTATGTTACATTACAATCAACTTCTGGCTAGAGGAAGCCCTTACTGTCTTGTCTTTGGTGCTTGTTTCACATCAGTCACGTTTGTTTGGGTTTTTTTCCAGAAGGAAAATATACTTGACAGTTTTGTTACAGTGCTTTATTAATTGCACTACTCACAAATGGGTGAGTAGCTCACATTTTTTCATTCAAGAGCAGCAGCCAGCACAAAGGATCTAGGTTTCCTGGGGGTTTCCATTCATTTAGAACACTCTCAAGTGCAGTAGCCTTCTACAGAAGAACAGACTCATGACTGTGAGACAGCAAGGGCACACAACATCATATGCAGCATTATCTCAGACCAATGGAGAATTTATGAGTTGTTCCATATTTTCACTGCATTCTGTCCCTGGTTGTGGATATCTTGGGTGAAACTTGTAGGTACAAAATCATGCAGGTTTAGCTGCACTTGACCAGTTAGAGTTTCTCTGTCACTTTCTGCTGCAATCATGTCATATCAATACATTCTCCATTAGCCAAAGAATAAGTTTGTTTACACACCCTTGTGTTTGGCTACTGGATTTCACGTCTCTCTGCTGGTAGCAGCAGAATCAGAGTTCAAATTTCCAGTCTATGTTTGATTAACCAGACCTAAAAATCTCAGGGACAAAATTCCACATTCTTCTCCTTATAATGAATAGTTTCTTATTGCAAACACCGTTCCAACTATATTAAGTGAAAAGACTGTTCCTGGCGTCAGCAGACCTGTCACAGATACAGATTTGCCCCCTTAAAAAGTGAAAGAGGAAAAAAAGAACTCACATGGAACAGACATATGCAAGGCTTTTATCGTTTGGCCAGAGAGTAGAATAGCATATCAAGGAAGCAACTTCAAATATATCTGCAAGAACAACATCACACTTGGAAATACCACTAATGTTTCATGGCTTGCTCCAAGATGTTCTCATCCACCACCATGTGAGGGAGGGTCACTCTCAATGTGTCGTTCTCTTTCATTGCTTGGCAGATGGTTTCATAAGCAAAGGCATTACCCGACCAGCAGCGCCTGGCGACCTGTCAAAGGAAAAAATCAACGCGTGTAAAAATCCTACATTTCTCTTGCCACATCCATCTTGCACAATATTTGCGCAAACACTGGCACTGAATTTCATGATAATAAATCTTTCAGCCCTCTGCCAGTTTCTAGTTTCCTTACTGATTTGTAATACCTACTTAATTTTTATGAAGAGTATTTGGGCAGACGTGGTACTTTTCCATGCATAACATTGGACAGATAACATTGGTAGAGCCAGGTACCTTATAAACTTAAAAAATTCTCTCACTAAAAATAATTGTGCACTCCACCCCAGCTCTGCAAAGCTAGCACTTGCTTTAGATAACAATATAATTTAAGCAATCAATGCTTTTGTAGTGGGATAAATATTTAAAAAGGAAAATGTCACTCAATGTATTTTTAACTATGAAATAAAGGAGCCAAATTCTCTGCCCTCAGGTAAGGAAGAAACTCTATAAACAAAACTCATAAACCCCTCTTCCATCAGCAAAACCCTGATCTGCGTACAAGCAAAATTCCCCAGACGAAAAAAAAAATCACGATTTGGCACCAAGGACATAAGTCCTTCCCTCTATTCAGTGCCTTACAAATCTCTATTATGGATTACAAATCGATTTCTGAAATATTCAGAGTGCTCAAAAACATTTAAGAAAGAAAGTACTTAAGTTCCAATTTAGCAAAATATTTAAGCATATGATTAATATAAGGCTAATAAGTTCCCAGGATCACAGCAACAGCAGCTAGAAGTGACCTTTTAAGTCAACAACTCCATTTTCCTGTCACTCATCTATGATTAATCCTGGCAACATATTTTTAAGGGTACACTCCCCTTTTTCAATCTTGTATATAACATGGGTAGCACTCTCAGATTGTTCTTTTTCAACATATGCATGTAAGAGCAGGGTTTTTGCTTGCAGTAAATCAGAGCAGCAAAAGGTAGATTGGGTTTTTAATAGACTGTCTCTGGTACACAGTTCTTGTTAAGGGTTTGTCTCCATTAGCCTACAAATTAATATAATTGTCATCCCCTTTTTCCGTAATGGTTTATTAGTGTGTTATTTCAGATCTGGGACAGGGAATATGTGCAAATTGTTCCTACTCTTCTACCCTAAGTCATGCCAGGTCTGATGGGGATTAAAATCTGTTTAGCACTGGAATAGAAGTGCTAAATAAACATAGTCATGAGACAAAAATATTAAAGTGAACATATATAATGAGCTTTGCTTACCCCATTGGAAACATCCCAGCTGAGCATCATCTTAGCTCGTTCTTCAGCCTCCTTCGACCCATCCAACACCAGGCCAAATCCCCCATTGATCACTTCACCCCTAAAAAATACAAATGTAAGAGCATGAAATGAAAGTGACCTGATCAAACCAATCCCACAGAATTCACAGGAGTTAATTTATTCAGTTGCAGTCCAAGGAGAAGGATGAGAACATAGAAACGCTGCTGAATAAGAGACTACCAGTGACCATTTATATTTAAAAAAAAAATCTACACTGTACTGGCTCTAAAAATAAGGGAAGAAAGGTTAACACCTCTGATCTGCCAGGGTATTTTTAAAGGTTTAGATCTTCATGTTTGCTACACTACGTCCTGCCATGTAAACAGGATCATGAGGAGGACAGTGTACTTTATTGAAGCAGACAGATGGATCTATTTATATTCTCTTGGGACAAATGGGAGAGCATAAGTATTTTATTAAAAAAGTGTTAACCACCACTTAATGCACATCTGCCTCAATCATTTCCAAAACAGTAATTAATTTTGTATGAGATACATAGATGTCTAAAGACATCAGTGCCAACTTTTCAGGAAGCAGACTTACTGGCAGAAGAAGAACAGAAATATGTTAAAACTAACAGATTATTCTTGGGAGAAATAACAGTCTGGTTTTAAAGGACAGGGAAAACACGTAGAGCAAAACATCTTGTCTGACTTTAGCATCTGGCCTGCTCAAGTTCCACTTCCATGGCATATGGTGAATAGTGGTGGATACAGCTGGTTGCTGTAAATCTGTGAGAGCTCTGGCATTATAGCTCAGCATCAGCAATACCTGAGGGACAGGGCATATCATACAACAATACGTGGTATGAGAGACTAATGGAAATCCCTGGAGGCAGGATTTTGTCCTCTGAGTTTCATAGCTAATATAAGTTTACAAAATTTACATAGAACAACATCAGACACATCCATTAATCAGATAGGAGTTGCGTGTCTTCCTGTCCAGGAAGGAATTGTTTCTTACTGTTTATTTTCCAGCAGTAGCTTGATCTTCTGAGAAAATGGTGAAATGCAGCTAAACTAGAGCCTCACAGACCTGAGATCTACTTCCTGAAACTAAAACATTTTCAATATAATGTTATTACTCATGTGATGTTAATTCCCTTTCTCTACTTATATACACTTCCCTATCACATATCTCAGGAACTTGGAGCTCCAGATCTCACCATCATAGTACTTTTCTGTAAATTCCCTCCACTTTTTCATTGTTAGACATATTATTACTGAAAACACATTTTCTGTTTAAAGGCACAGTTTTCTTGAAAGTGACAGTTCTCACAGCAGAACATCAGCAAGTGAATCAGGTTTTTTAACAGGAAAATTTGAATCAAAGTCCTGTTTCCAATTGAGATGTTTTAATATTGTAAGATCTGACTCTTCAAAATAAAACTGTTCTTTTTGATTGACAATCAAAATTGAATTTAAATCCCAGGATGAAAATTTTTACTGTGTGAAATTTTTCAGTATTTCTTCTCTTAGTCTCATCTGGGGATGAATATAAACATTCTACTTTTTGAATAGCTCATTTTGTTACTGTCTTCTCCAAAAGACTGGACCGGACTGGATGACAGTGTTAAAAATGTAATTCTACCAGGGCCAGTTACCTCACCACACTCTGCTGCTCCTGCGTACACAGACCAAATTATCGTTCTTTACTGTCAAAGTACTAAGCCAGAGTACACTTAGGAACATCAATGATGCCACTGCAATGTATGTGGGATCACAGAATGAGCACCCCTCAAGGCAGCCTATGGGAATTATAAGAAAATAAGAAAATCACACCTCTGGACCAGTGGTTTATAAAGATATTCCATTTGGAAGATGATGATGCTCTTTCAGTGGCAAAGATGCCCTCTGTCTACAGCATCCCAAAGAGCATCCTTTGAAGCTTAGGTATGAACAGTGAGCATTTGATCTCACTTCTACTCCATAAATTTAGAGCCTCTCCATCGATTCTCAGAGAGTTACTCTAGTGTAAATCAGAATCACTCATCAGAATCTGTTCTACTGTCTAAAAATATCTCCTGCATTAAAGGCCAATGTTTGTTATGATGGATTTTCTATCAAAACTTCTCATTTTTAAAGGGGAACTCTCTGCCTTCATTAGCATTGGGTCACATTTTCAAGTAATTAAAGAAACATGTGGCATTGTGACCTAAGCTACCTCCTATAATTTCCAGATGTCTCCTTCTAAGGTGATCAAAGAAAACAAGGCCTCTCTCACAATCAAGATGTCACCCTGTCGACAGACCAGTTCGATTCTTAAATTGCTTCTGCCTTTTTGTTACTGCAGGTTATTCAGGCTCTGTGCTAATATACATTCTCCAGCAAAGAAACAGGCTGCCAAAAATCAATAACAATAATTTGCTGTAATTATAGTCAAGGTTAATCTTAAGTCTCTCCCACAGCACATGTGATGCAGATTCCAGCTAAATAAATATTAATCCTGCTTTTTCTGTTTGCCCCACAAGGCTGTAACGCAGAAAAACTAAAGCAGGTGAAAAGGCACTTCTGTAGTCTCTTAGGAAAGACACAGCAGATCTCAGTAGTTCCAGGCAAGCCTCTGCAGCTGAACACAGGGCAATTGCCAGTTTTTAACTACCTGGACAGAAATTTTCCAACCGCTTGATTTCTCTTGAATCGCGTGTATCTTTGTTTATAAATATATATATGCTTCCACTTGCAATTTCACTTTTCGAAATCAGCTGATGACAAGAAGAATTTAACAAGCACGTGAAGATTTCATTATGGCAAGGTCAGCTGGATTTTTAGAGCTCCACCTGTCATGCCCTGGCTTTTGGGGGCTCTCCAGACCACAGCAGCTAATGACACAACATTTTTACCACATCTGAGTCTCAGCATGGTGGCTTATTGAGGCTTGTGCAGAGACAGGCCTAATTTTCAGGCCCTGCACTCATCGCTGAAGCACAGTAATTTAATCATAGAGGGCTGTGGCTGCTCCCAAGAACAAGGTGAGCAGATACTTTTCTGCAAAGACAAGCCCCCAAGCAGCCATAGGAAATGACAAAAACAATAAGCAAACCCTCTTTTTCCAGAGGTATTTTTATTTCAGTAAATAATCACACACTAGTTTTCTGATTCATTACATAAATTATAGCACCTCTGCTCTGCCTTGGGGTAAAGCTTCTTTTATGATGCAATTCCACTTATATAATAAAAGAGTATAATTAAAATTGCAGTGTGGTCAGTGCCAGTTTTCCAGAAGTAAGGGCAGTCTCACCATTCAGCCAAGCTCTCTTTGAATTGCCTAAAGGACTAGAAATGTGCAGGAGGGATTTGCCTTAGAGAGGCCAGAAAGAAATAGAATCATTTGTATCCTTTGAATTAAGCATCATAGGGGCAAAGAACACTCAAAGATCATAAGCAATTATTTTAGCAATACTAATAATTATAATTAGCATAAATATATCCCGAATACTTTGGACAACGTATTGTGGTTTTCTTTACTTGTATTTCATAAGCAGATGTTTTAAAAGGTTGAACTCAGTTAAGGCAATTCAGACAGGATTACTCTGCTGCTACCTCTCAAGTCTGAGGTGACCGGAGTAGGGAGACATTCTGGCATATATTTTCCATTCAGAGTTATGGAAATTGTGAATTAAAGCCTGGCTTTGGGTTCTTATCACTGAAATCAGTAAAGACAAACTTTCGTCCCATGTGCCCAAGCCCTCGGAGAGCTTTCTCATCCCATTGTTCAATGTTGCTCTTGTGTACCTTCTATGCAGTAGTTAGTTCATTGAAATCAAAGGACAGAGAGGGAATTCTTCAGCTGACCTCAAGGGATATTTTCTTGTTTCAGCTCGTCCAGATGAATAATAATTAAGTACCATTAAATGCCTCTGAGGATAACATCTGACAAGTTCTTTGGATTGCTGTTGTTGGCATATTCCAGCACTGGTTGAAACAGGGAAGTGGGAGGGTTCACTATGGTATTTAATAGAGGATTGTGCCCATTTCAACTGGTGACACCCAAATGAAGACGTGACTGTAAATAGGAGAGGCTTTGCTGGAATATGCTGGAAAGAACAAACCATAATCAAAGACGCTGCAGTGTGGCCAGGCTATTCTTTTCCCTACTGCCAATCCAGAGTAACCTTTTAGTGTCTGTGGATGAGGTCACTTTCCCTCTCCATATATAATACTACTTTCATTCTGCTTCTCACTTCAGGCATTTTGTAAAGTTTTGCATCTCATGTGAAGGAGATGTTTAATTCAGTCCTTAGCTGTGGTCTTTTATCCTACCAGGCATGAGCAGGGAGTGAAAGACTGTGGGGTTGGCTGGCACCTGAGCTGTTTTGTATCAATAACCCCTCATTGCCCTTCAGCACATGAGCATTTATATTGGGGTCCTAAGGTCACAGATTTAAACACAGTTTAAAGGGAAACCTAAACATAATCCATCCCCTAACAATCTGGCTGTGCATGTGTGAAGACAACTCTGAAAGTAGGATCTGTTCAAGAAGACCACAGCAGACTGTCCTTGTTTGGCAAATTAGGATCTTCAAACTCTGCTGTGGCCAGTGTTTAAAACACTTTTCCTGGACATATGGGCATTAATTAGAAAAGCCTCTACAACACCACACTGCCTTATAATTCGTTCTCCAAGTCCTTGTTACCAAACCCATCCTTCCCATCATCATGACATTGTACTATTCCAGTACTACACACATCTTTTCATCAGTTCCCCTCCTGTCTCTCCTCTGCACACACATGCACAGCAGAGTCCAGCTTTAGAAACATGAACAAGCTCTTACCAGCCAACTCCACCACCATTGTGCAGTGCGACCCAGGTCGCTCCTCTGAACGAATCTCCCACAAAGTTCTGCACTGCCATGTCTAGGAGAAAAGGAAAGGTGTTATGGATCTCACATACTGCACTCATTTTTCTGTTGTGCTGCTCACTCCTTCCATTGACACCTTCATTGTGGCTGTGTGAAGGCAGAGTTTACTCACAGCTTCTCTCACAAATTTACACTGAACATCTCATTCTTGGGAAGAACAGGCAAAAGAGACTGTCCTTGCACTCACTGCCAGTTCATTGGAGGAAGCAAATGCCAGGCTCACCCTGTGATTTGTGAGGACTCTGGTGCTTTCTGTATTTGTGCTCCAATTCAAGCAGATGAGGGACATACCACTCCTCAGCTGGGAGATACCTCCTCAGGATGGAGAGAGATGCAACTCCCCCTCCCCCTTTGGGGTGTCTCAGTCACGGAAGAGCAGGCTGGACACATCTGTATGGATGGATTCAAAGTGGGGAGGACACCTGGAACACTGCACACCCTGCAGTTATCAGAAGTCTGAAGTATTTTCAGATCTGAGTGCAGTGTTATTTCCACCCTGTGCGGAAAAACCAGCCTAAAGCTAGGGAGTTGCATTTTGGGAACAAAGTTAGGATGCAAGTGCACGTCAGTTCTCTGAACATGGGGGTATTTTACCCTGAACAGGAACTGCTGAAACCACAAAGGTTTCTTTTGTTTAAAAAACCCCCACACTAAACTAACAAACACCCCCCCCAAAAAAACAAACAAACAAACAAAAAATCTCAAAGAACATGATTTAGGAAACAAATGTAATTTGACTACTATCAAATGCATGACTTCCACCGAACTGTTCGCTAGACTTTTGGATATTTACTACAATATGTGCTAAAGCATATACCCAGAGAGGTAGAAAGAGATACACGCAGAAGATACAAGAGTAAAAATTACTGAAAACATTTGTCCATATTTGATTCAGGGGAAATTCAATACACAATATGCCTTGTTTTTAACAGGAAAAAATAAGAGAAAAACAACAATATCCCTACCAGCCAGATTTGCAGAACCAGTTATGTGTCTGGTGGAAAAATGAGTTTATTTGAGTGCTAATCTATGTTAAACCCTGTCAAAAGCCCCATTATGGCATCTTTTATCTGACATTATGTCACTTTAATAATGCAATTATCATAATTACAGTGCTGTCAAGATGGAATGGGAGAGATCTAAATCACCATATTCTAAAATGTACAAATTTCCTCCCCAGCCACTAGCATGATAAGAGTGGAGGTTGAACAAGGAGTATGGCAAGGGAACTAACAATGCGATAACCTCCTGCTTTTGGCTTGGATAAAAAGTAATCGACTGCAAATGTCTGTGCGGAAATACACTAGGCAAAGCAGTGATAACCCACCAGTCTGAGGTACTTTAAAACAAAATGAGACAGACAAACATTCTGGAAAAGTCCTGTGTGCCAAAGAGGAGACAATTTCACCTGCACCAGTTCAAATGGTGGTATTAAAACAACAGGAAAAAAGGAAGACCTAAGGTGTTCTTTTATTATCTCCGGAGGCTCATCTGGTAAAACAGAGTTAGACCTGGTTTCAAAGACCAGTGGTATCAGTGGTTAACCAGCTTTAGATAAGCCCTTGGAGAAGGCAAACGGTTCATGTAAATCATGAAATGCAAAGGAGACCCTCAAAGGATGATGAGCAATGGGGTTTAGCAAGCCTTGTTTCTATTGCCCTCTTCTGAGGGCATTGCCTCACATTTACTTATGTTGCTAAGCCCTTTGATGGAGACATTGCTTTGGACTGCTGTTCTCAGTGCAGCTGTACCATTTTCTTACATCTTGGCAGAAACCAACATTATTCAAGACCTCTATTCATTTGGCCTATTAGAACTAGCCAACACACTTAAAATGTGGGAAGTGGGACTGATAGATACAGCTAAAAGCCTAATTTCACCAGGAAATCCAGTTAAGATAGCAGGGAACTTTTATCCTTAAAATTGAGCCATAATTTGGTTCTATTATGAATTCCCATAATGGAAGTAATTCAATATGCTCAGCTACCTCTATCATAATTTCTCCTTCTACAGCAGCAGATCCTCCAATTTCACACCTCTTTGTGACTGTCAGTTCATGACATATGGAAACACTACTGGGCTAAAGCTATTATCATAATTTCCACTTTATGGATGGAAAAGTGAGGAAGATTTTGGTTAGAAATTGCTTAGTACTTTTTTTTTCTTTTTTTTTTGTGGATTTCCAATCTGGTGTTTCTTGCATTTATTTTTCTAAAGCATCTTTTCAAAAACTTTAAAGCAGTCTGCTTAGCTCAGATCAGGTGTGTAGCATTAAAGGTTTCTTTTGTATAACAAATCTACATGATTTGCCCACAGTCACAGCATAAGTGAATGTAATCTAATCCAGAATGCCTGACAAAACCATTTTTTAAAATGCTGCATAAAAACCTATTTATTTCTCTTTTAAAGTCATTTCCTTGCTTGCTCAGGTAAACAAGTCTCGGCTGCTCCACTGACCTGCACAAAAGGCGGATCCATCATAAATGTTTGACGTTTCTCTGAAAGGACTGTCAGTCCCACTCACGTCGTGGTGATCTCGGCTGAGGACTACTGGAGCCTGGGAAAAGCCAAGGACAAGAAAGTGGAATCCTTCATGGATTGGCATTGCTACTGAGGATCATTATCTGCTGAATTCACTTCTGTCTTAGGTCATTTCAAATCTCACTTTTGCCCCATCTCCTAAACCCCCCAAAATGCCTTCTCTGCCTGTTATTATTTATTCTAAAACAGTTGTTCACATACTGTTCATGAAAGCCACCATCCTTTCATAAAAAAGAACAACAGCTTGTTTTTAGGCCAATGGCATCCTCAAAGGAGGGGAAGTAGTGAGGTTATTTCATCCAAGCATTTCTTTGCTGAAATTTCAAAGGCATTTCAATATGCAAAGATCTTCATTCAGAAAGTTCTGTTCGCTGTTGACAATTAAATTATTAGTACCAAGTTTTACCATTTTGCATTTTTTTAATGACTTTAGACTAAAAACTTAACAATAAAAGTCAGTGATTTCATATACCTCAAACAAGTCCATTCTTGATCTTGAATTTAATTGGCAGTATGAATAAATATCAGCTTGCAGGTATTCATTATCATTTGCCATGCACTAGGTTTATATAAGAATAATTCAACTCTTGGCCTAGTGTGGTCTGGAGTTAGCTGACTTTTTTATGCTGGCAGTGAATTAGAAAATCACTGAAAATATACATGAGCACCCAGCTTGCAAGAGCAGGAATAGAGATTTGCAGAAACAAAAGAAGGGCAACAAAATCCAAAGGGCCTGGGAGTCTGACCTTGTCAGTCATAGCTCCAAGGGAGTGCTCTGGCTGGTCAGGTTTATTTTATGAGACCAGCTTGCAGTGACCTTCGTTTGGAATCCTGAGTAGGTCAACAGCATTTGAATTATTTAACTAACATTTTCTAAGTAACAAAAAACAGACCTTCCCAGATAGAATCCATTCTAAGTTTTACTTGAGTTTGCTCCTTTAATAAGGAAAATTGTGATCCAGTTATAAAAGAGATGGAGATTAACAAGTGACATTGTCTTGGTCTGATGCTGCTGTACACACAAGTAACCAAAGAATATCCTGAGTAGGAGGGGATCCACAAGGACATAAATCCAACTCCTGGCACTGCACAGGACCACCCTAAGTACAGGTATAATTGCTGGGTGGTGCCCTCAGGAATTTGGTCTCCCCCAGGATGTCACACTGTACATCTACCTATAATATTCATGAAGAACTTACAAAATCTCTACACAGTCTTGCCCACAGTATGTACTGTTACTGCCACCACACAGGGTCAGTGGGATTTTACCCAGAGGAGTAAGATATTGGCATTATGCTCTACAGGGGCAGTGTCAAGCCTCAACATTTTCTTCATGCATACATGCAATGCAAATTGACTGCAGAGCTTGCTGTAGCTGTAAAATATGGCTGCAAGTGAGGGATAGAGGGGAAGAAGCACTGGGGAGTGGCACAGTCTCTTGTTACCTCTAATATTTGGGGCACTAACAAGGAGTGTTAGAGTGTTAGAATCCCTGCCTTGTGTTCTCAGCAAATCACAGAATGGTGTGTTGTGCTTCTAGATGTCCAAACAGAAAATAAGGCAGATTCCCACCATGAAAAAAAAAGATAGCCTATTTCAGAGAGTTTCTAAACCCATCTCTCTCCTATTACATGGTGCAATATGGGTGGCAGGCAGAGAGAAGGACTGAACTCTAACATACACTAGAAGAAACTGGTTCCCTGTAAATTGCACTTCTGGTCTCCCTGGTTGCAGTGCTCCTTTCCCACCTGCCACTCCAGTCTCAGATATTAAACACAGTTATCCAGACCATATCAAAACAAAGAAGACAAACCTTAATCTTTCCTTCAGAAATTGCTCTATTAATAGCCACAGCTATAGACACGCGACCCCTCTGATCAGAATACAAGATCCTAGCTTGAGAGCCAACAACCTGGAAAAGAAAAATGGCAAAATGATAAGGTTCTCTGCAGCTGGTTTATCTTCAGGCCCCAGATGAATGAAGTCACAGGAGTGACCCCTTCCCTTCTATAGGGAAAAGTGCAGATTAATTCTTCAGAAGCATCTAGCTTCCAGAAAAAAAGAAATTAAAACCCCTCTTTGAACTTAGTTTTATCTCCACTCACACAATCCATGAGATATATTTCTGTATTCAGCTGGTAGTCCAATAAATTCGACTTTTTAAAATCAACCTGATTGCTGGGCTATAATCCCCCTATCAACAAATCCCTTAGCAGCAGCTGAGATGCAGAGATTTGGAACTGGTGATGGTAGGCTGGAAGGGAAAGGGAAATGTGGAGACACAAATATGGCACAGATCACCTGTGCTTCATAGCTCTGCTGCTCTCCACCCCACAGACCAACCTGGCTTCCAGATTAGGAGAGCACATCTGAGCTCTACAGCATTAGTGGTTAGCTTCACTGGAGAGCCTGCCCTAAAAGAAAATGAAGGATGCTCCACTGGCATCCTGCTTCCCACAATGCAAAAGGATGGCAGCTCTCACCTTATCACCTGTTTTGAAAAGGGTTCTGGGCACTGCAGGTGGGAAGAGGCCGGCCCAAAGCAGTGCCAAGAGGGACATTTTGAACAGTGCTCTGAAAGAAGGGTGGTTACAACTGAGGTGGAGCATGAATGACTGATATGATTCATTCCAGATAGAGGAGTAAATATTGCTGGATTATTTTAATATTTCCAGATGAGGAAATCAAGGCAGATAACTGTTTCAACTCTCCCTAAGACTCTACTGTGGAGAGAGAGATTTAAATTGTCAGCCCTGGGAGCTACAGCCAGTGTTCTCATTCATGACCACTCCTGCTTTTCACCCCAGTGTTCAAAACCCACTGCATTTGGGACCAGGAGCAGTCACATCTGCTGAAGGAGGTTGTGAACTTACCAAGCTGTGCCTGCCAGCTTCCCGAATCCAGCGGATGTTGTCATGGTACTGCTGCTTCACAGATGTGCTCACTTGCAAGAGAAAGCAAGGAAAAAATAGGGTTTGAAAATTAATGCAATATGCTCTAAATTTACAGTAATTCCTCTGGCAGCACTAGGAAGTCACATTCTACTCTCAGATATAAGCACGCATATAGGAAATGCTGCATAGAGACCTCTGTGCAGCTGATGCAGTAACTGCACCACGTATTTAGAGAAAGGTACAATATGTCACCCAGGAGACAGCTGGAACAATAACTCCCATTTGGATCCTCAGCAAACTAAATTTAACCTTGAAATATGGGTTACGTGTACATTTTATGGTCACCTGGCTTGCTGCCTGCCAAATGCCCATCTATTTAGTGAAGACTAAAGGCCTTCACTAAATTAGAAGCTCTATCAAACTCCATGACATTGGATACAACAGTTCAGTCTTGCACCAGGTGGTAAATCACTCTTTTGAGACAGCTAGCAGAAATTCTAAGAAGCAGCTGGCAACATGTACTTGAGGATAAGTTACAGCAATGCTGGGATATAAATTTATAGCACAGCAGTTATTCTGTACTAAATGGTCCTTGTGAATGTTTTCCTCCAAAGATAAAGCTGAGGTTTCTTATCCTACAAACTGACGTATGTTGCCTTGAATTACTATGGGAAAAAAACTGCATAGAAAAACATAAAACATATTACAGAGGAGCTACATTATGTGTAAATCCACTCTACATCTTGTTTAGATATATATTTTTTGTTACTGAAGAAGAGAAATATATATAATGGGTTTATATTCTCCAGTTTCTTCTCTCATTTATATCTGTGCCATTCTACCTCAATAAGTCAAACCAAGGAGTAAATAATAAAGATATTTGAAGTAAAAGACTGTGAAATATGGCACATATCCCTCAGATGCATGGTGGCCTCAGTACAATCAGCTGCCTCCAAAGGTATGGCACCACCTGCAGTGAGTAACAAAAGGAAGAGGGAGTATGAAATAGGACAGAAACATTGCATTTCTATCTAATTTAGAGGGCTTTTGCAGCTCAGATAAGGTGGCAGTGGCTGAAGAAGTTACTGCCTGTAAGCTCTTCTTCTGTGGGCTAAGCTATGCCACACTAACTTGCCCTGAGGGGCATGGTCATCTACCAGAGCTCAGCTGGTGTGACAACATACTGAGCCACAGTGACTTGTTCATGCATTGGAGCTTCAAGTCAATCCTTTCTGCAGATGCCAAGATGGAATGTTCTCCATTACCTTTCAGCACTTACCCATTCTTAAGTCAATTCATAATGTACACAAAACTTATGTTTGAAAGTCAGACTGCAGAAACTGCACTCTGCTAACTTGAAACTGTCCACTGAGAAGCATGTTTAGACTACTGCCTTTTCACAAGGCAGCAGTTATGCAGAGCAAAAGTCGAAAAAGGAGAGAGGGAGAAGCAAGACACTTGTATTTAACCTGTGTTAAACACATTGTTAAATGGAAATGAAAAATATGCTCATTCTGGCAGAGACAGGCCTTCCATACAGAGAGCTTTAATGATCCTAAAAAGACCCATCAGTGCTGTAGGGGTTAGCTCCAAGTGATAGCTTCTAAACTCTGCTGTGAGGATTAACATGTCAGCACTTCACTTCGCAGGGAGTAAAAGATGAAACATCTGCTAGTGCTGTCCTAATAGGATTGTGCTGCCACTCATAAGCTTTAAGGAAGCAGCCTCTAGAAGGCAATGGGCAGTGTTCACTTAGGTACTTAGGTACTATAGATATATCCAGAAGAGAAGGTAGATGAGAATACTGGCTACAAGGACCTATCTTAACACAGTACATCTGTCCCTCCCAGCCAGCTCCAATAAACAGTCATATTCTCTCTCCTAAATAGTGGTGTGTCCAAAGTTTGATTTCATCAGTTATCCCTGGGGAAGTGAGGAGTCCTCCCTTTTATTTAGTCTTACTTCCTGCAATTGAAAAAAAAAAATCTTACAGCTTCTTTTAGAATAACCTTAACTTTAGAGTACCTCCATGTGTCTCATTTGCTATACTGCTGCCTCACCTCCCCATCCCAACAGGAATGTGTTTTGAAGTCAGACAAGTTACCATGTTGCTTGTGGTATTTCATAAGCCTTTGTACATATTTAGAGTTTGAAAGACTTTAGAAAGCATTGTGTACTCAGAGAAATAGTCCCAAGCAACACAAACTGGCCCCCTTTGCTCTTGGGAGATTTATAATGTTATGCATCAGCTCAATTTTCAAATTATCACAGAGTTTGTAAATCCAAGTTACACCCCAATAATCAGTGATGCATCTGTTGCAAAAGAGATCTTAAAAGCTCAGGTACAATTACAAGTGGAAGTAGATAATGAAACTACATAAACCTCACAAACTGGGAAAAAGTTCTAAGTGAAAAAATTCATCACCACAAAATGAGATGAATGGTTAACATTGAACTCCAAGGCCAGGTCCAAAGTTTAGACTTGGACTGCAACAGACTTCAGCTCTGTGGAGTTTTTGTTCTTTTTTCATAGTGGATTCTTTCATAAATTTCAAAGATATGTTCCAATTTTAGACGTATGTGAGGCTATCCAGGCCCTGAACTTTGGTCCAAATCCAAGCCTCATAGAACGTGGACAGCAGGTGGAATATTCAAGAACACATACGCATGAATAGCTGGTTTTTTTCTGCCCAAATTCAGTTTTTCCTTTCTCTTTTGAATCATATTCCCATTGTCCTGCCAAATTCAACAATAAATCAAATAGTAGCCTTGCCCTTAAGCCTGTTTTCACTTGTTGGGATTTTTTTAAATGTAATTTTTTTGTTTACATTAAGAATATACAAGCGATAGTTCAATGCTTTTTGTCTGTGCAAGAGAGTTCTCTCCCCAGCTTTACATCACATCTATATAAACACCCCCATACTGCTGTGTACACAGTAAGTGATTCATTTCCCAGCCTTGCAATGCAAATCATCCAAAGGTCATGCATTGGTTCAGTCCTGGGAGAAGACCTCTGGAGGCTGCAGTACATGGCAGAACAAATTACTGCAAATTTCTGAAGACAGATCCAGCACTGTAGTATTGGATTTCACCCTCCCTTCAATAAAGCCAAGGGACCAGTTTAAAAAACATGGAAGTTTCAATATCCACAGACCAGAGCAAGCACTTCGGGGTTGTTGCATTTCTTGAAGATGACCCCTAAGGAAAGACTGGGAGAACAGACAGAACTAAGGACCTCGCAGAGTCAAACCCACTCTATCAATAACTCATCTCATGGGAGGAAAAGGAGGCTGAACAGCAGCCTTACATTATGGGAAGTCAACAGCAGTTTTGTTCCAAATGAGACACATCTGAACATGGTATATATCCTTTCCAGAAATACCACTCAGGATTCTCACAGTGATAATTGTTTCAGAGCTAACAGGAGAGCACTCAAAATTTTCACAATTCTACTCGTATTTCAAATGATGACTTTCACTAAAGAAGTAACAAATATTTCAATTATTAAAATATTTAGGAAAAAATATTAAGCTCTCCTCATAAAATAGGCTTTGGATTTGTGATCCTTCTCCTTTTGATCCCAAGGAATTCCTCAGAATTCAAGGATTCTTTTGCTGATTCTGAAAAGCATAAAGCTCTGCTCTCTGGAAATAAAGCTGAGAACTTTAGTGCTAGGGGACAGTGACAAGTCTTTGAGTCTGTTGTCTGACTGTAAAGGTGGACCAAGAAAAGGAAAGAAGTAGGACCTTCCACTGCAACCTGGAAGATCAGGATTAATGTTTGCTGACACAAAATTAGCTTTGTCTCAATTTCCATTCATGAGCAGAGGATAACAGTAATAATTCCTTTTTCAGAGGTGTGGAAGAATGAAAGGCAGTGTCATTCCTCGATCCTAGAGTAGCATACAAAGCCATGCAGGTATTCTAAGTTGATTCCACCAGTGAATAGAAATAGTTGGCAATTTATTAACAAATGACAAAAAAATCCTCAAAATTGTAATCACAAAAAAATGACACTGGATGGAGCACCACATCCATGAAATCTGGGTTTCCTGCCACTTATCTCCTTGCTAACCTCCTGAAAACCTCCCTAGATTCCCATGCCTCATTCACCTGTGAGACAGGGGCAAAGCAATTTGATTCCTTAAATTACTCTTGGAGACCTGTTGATGAAAGATAATGTTTGCCTTAAAGTATCAAGGTGACAAAGTTCAGGAAAACCTGTAACAAAATTAAAATAAATGTTCTTAGCCAAAATTGCACAATAACTTTGGAATCAATATCCGTGGTGCTTTTATGTTTTACCTACTGGTTATGCTCCTTACAGGGGTTTGGAGAAGAGCAGGATTTTCTGCCCACATGGAAAATGAAAGAGCCTGCTTTCTATGTTTTAAGCCAAAAGCTAACACACATTTTCCAACTCTCAGTATCCTTCTCTCTCCAGAAGCAGCCCCAGTGGCAGGGGCATGGGATGTCTTACCTCCCTTCCGTATTGAGTCCTCCAGCACTGACATGGCAATGGAGTCAGTCGTAGCAAGGTCCTTTGGGTCACCTGAGGTACAAACCCAGCGGAATGGCCCAAATCCCAGGGAAAAAATGTCCCTGGGAATAGAACATGTTTCATTAAGAGATAGTTGAAATTCTTTCCTTATTTATCCTGGCTGCTAGCAGTGCTTTTCTTTCATTAGCTGGAGACGGAAGAATTTGAAACATTTTCAATGAACTAATCCAAACAGAAGCATCAAGGACCATTAACTGAGAAATTAAACAGTGGTGTTTCATGCAGCCATAAACCACTTTATAAAAATACAGTCAGGCCAGAATTTTGATAGTCATGTTGGGCAGTTCAATCAAATAAGTGCATCACCAGATGACTTGCAGTTTTAATTCTGCTTCATCAAATATACTCTGCCTGCTGCCTGGTCTTTGTGCCCTTAACCCAGGCTAACCCTGAGTGCATCTGCACTATCAGACAAGTGTAGGTTCTGAACCAGTGCCTGAGTCCAGACTCATTTGCTGCCCACATTGTTTACATACAATAGCGAGACACGCTTCAGTTGAGGTCCGGGAGAAAAGATCTAGTCTGGTTGGTGCCTTACTCTATGTTCAAGCTCTTCACGTGGCACAGGCAAGTTAAAGCATGAGCCAGAGGAAAAATGAGTTATAAATCCAGTCCCTCAACAGACCTGGGCTCAGCTGTTTCCGCAAGCAGCATGTACAGCTTGGGAAAGAGGCTGGAGACATGGGCAGAAGAGTGTCATCTTTCAGACATGCTTTTAGATTCAGTGTAGACATAGGCTTTGATGAGTTGGAATTGGGTTCTACCATTCTGAAGAGACAAACTCTCCATTTTTAGCACCTACAAGTGAGATTGCCCATAGTTACAGTTTGAAGCTGTGACTTGGCTCTTCTTTCGAGTAGAACTGCCTAAAAGAAAATTTATACAAAGACAAAATGCAGCTAATTTATGTGAAGGACTGAAGAGTTTTGATCTGGCAATGTTTCAGCCCAGACTAACTCTGGCATAACACCTGCAAGATCAGTTTTCCAACTCTATTGCCTCCTTTTGATCCTTCATAGTGCACTGCAAATTCACACTAATCTCTGTCGTACTCCCCCACTAAACAGAGGGAGTCACAAGGCACTTAAGAGCATATTCCAAATTCTGCCCAACATACCCCATGATGTGCTGAACATAGGAAGGATATCGAAATTCTGTTTTATTTGCTCCTTTTTTCTCAACATCAGCACCTATAAGAGAATTTTAATAGTCAATGATTCAGTGAAAAAACCCCTATATAATGTTAAACCCTACTGCACCTATGTTGCCATGAAGTCTTTATCTCATTCAGGGAGGGTCAGGGGTCTCAGAGAACAAGACAGAAAGAGGCTAAAGAGTTAAAATAACAGTGGCCAACCCCATCGTACCAACATAGGCAGCTGGGAAGATGCATACAGGATTGTCTTTGTTTCCACCTACAGGTACAGGATCTACTCACCAGCCCTTTGAGCTTCCAAGAGAAAAGCATTGCCATAATCCCAAAAAAACATGCCCTTATCAGCAAGTTTGTTAATAGCGGCCACATGCCTCCTCAGACTGAAATAAAGAAGGAAACAGTTATTCTTGAGATGGATGAAATATCTGAGAGGATAATATAGTGAACTCACTAACAGTACGGGAGTAGGGGGAGACAGATGAAAATGAAAGAACCTAGATAAATTTAGACATAAACCCGTAAGCCAACGATTGAGATGCTCTCAGTCTCTGTAGCACCTGTTATCCCCAAATCCTGAAGTAGTTTACACTCATGAAGAGAACTTTATTCATTAGCAATGAGGGGTCACATCTTTCAGCAAAGCAATGCAGCCAGATCTGGGGATGGATGGTAATACCAAAAAACAGTCTACACAAAACTGCGCAACAGCTTCAGAAGTTCACAGAGCAGAGACAGAAAAGCTGAAAATGGCTAAACATCATTGTTCTGGCCTCACTCTTGGCCAAAACAGCCCATATGGCCTTTCTTTCCCATAGTGGGCCTTCTACAGGGCTGGTCCCTGTGATAACATTTCCACCTAATATTTTATCTCGTTCTAATATCAATGCATAGTTGCATACAGACTTGTATACACATAGGTGTAACTTCTTGGAGTTCTGGAGGTAGATCAATGACTATCAAATGAGAATGGATTTTTTAAGCCACATCTAGCTTGTTAGAAGTTAGTTCCTCACAGAAATTTACCTTTCTGTTAGCTTTGTCTTAGATGAGTATGACACAGAATTGAGGAAACTGGCAAGGTCGTTGCTGGTCCCTCATCCAAAGTCATATAGATGTTATGCCCATATTCTACCTTCTGCTAGTAAAAGGTGTCCACCAGGATTATCCAAGGTGAACAAAACCCATGTAGAAGCACTCTCCTTGAAAGGACCAGTTGAGAACTATAGTACAGCTTTATTTACATATAAATTATGCCAAATTGTTCTCTTTGTCATGTCCAATTTCACTTGCAAACTTGTAAATCAGGAGTAGGCTTCTTGAAATCAAGATGCTAAACAGAACTAAACTTAAAGGTTAAAAAAATATGTTACCAAAACATTTACCTCTCTTGTACCAGGGTCCGGAACTTCCCTGGATCGGTGGAAAGGAGCTGCTTTGCTTCCTCAAAGCCAAGCTGTACTGGATAGTACCCACCATTAAATGGGTTGTGGCATGAAGTTTGGTCAGAGCCCAGGTCAACCAGCAGCTCTCCTGTCTTGTCCAGCTCATAGACCAGCCTCTCCCTGGGGAAGACAGTAAACAGAATGGTTGAACATAAGCTGTCATTTCACAGTCTGGATCAAGAGCACCATGATTTCTACCCATTATTTTATGATTTTTATTTAATCAATACCTCAGTACTTCTATTCTTCACTTACAGCAGCCTTCCAGTACCCAAAGAGGCTTACAAGAAGGCTGGAGAGGGACTTTTCATGAGGACATGTAGTGATAGGAAAAGGAGGAATGGCCTTAAGCTGAGAGATGGGCAGTTTAGATTAGATATGAACAAGAAATTCTTTATTATAAGGGTGGTGAGAACTGGAACAAGTTGCCCAAATAGGCTGTGGGCTTCATATTTCTGGAGGTGTTCAAGACCAGGCTGGTTGGGACCCAGGTAAACCCAGTCTCATGGTAGGTTCCCTGCTTGTGGCAGAGGGGTTGGAACTAGAGGATTTTTAAGGTCCCTTCCAACATGAACATGTCTATGATTCACTGAAGTCAAAGACATTTCCTTGCAATCTTGCAATTAGCGAAAGATTACAAGGAAATAGATAAAATCTTTTTTCATCCTATGCAGAATCTAAGAATTTCTTTCCCTAAGCCATTTATTGTTCCATAAAGAAAGGAGGAACATGAGAAGCAACTGGGAACTGGAACATGAGGATGAAGATCTCTCTTTTGACAATAGTTTTTCATTAACATCCAGAGTAATGTACTCAGCACTAGATTTAATATCTCTTCCAAGACTGGGAATTAATTCCAGACGGACTAACAAGCCAGAGCATTAATGTATCCATTAGCCATACATGCTACTTACCATAGGTCTACAACATTCCCATGGTAACCCAAACTAAGGGCAATCTTATTCTTTCTTGCTTCTCTAGAAAAGAATAAAAAGATAAGTTGAAGAAAATGCACCTCATTTCATCTTGCAAAGTATAAGTCCCCCACAGAACCAAACCCAGCAAAAAAGTCTGCATGTAGTTTTCAACACAAATCTAGAAAACAGATCTTTCAGCCTTTTCATAATTGTTAATCACAGATTCCATGAAATTTGAGTGATGCTTCAAGTGTAACATCAGTTGTAATTGCTCTGTGCATATTCATGAAACTGAATGAGGACACATTTAACATATCCAAATTTTATGAATTATTAGTAGTTACTAACAATGATTGCTGCAGCTTGGGAAACTGGATTCACATTCCAAAGCAGACCTGGAATAAGAAGAGTGTCCCTCAACCCCTCTGACACGTACACCGAAATGGTACAAGGCAGAAAAGGTGTGAAGTGAGGGTTAAGAAGCAGAGATAAACTCACTGAATGATGTTGCAAGTCATACCTAAGGCGAGCAATGCAATGGTCCAGGTTGTTAGAGATTTCCATCAGCCATCCCTGCTTGTGACGTTTCAGAAGTGCTGCTTCATCAACCTAGGAGTAATAGCAGAGATCTGAAAACTCCTGTTCACCCTATGTAGTCACTTTTACCTTTAGTTTTTTCAATTACCCTCCAAGAAATCATAGCAAAAAGGTAAAGGTAATAGCCCTGCTATTACCTTGAGATATATCTATATATAATCAACATATAATATATATAATTATTGTTCAAGTATTTATTTTTTACCTCTGATGTTTTTTACACTTTCTGTTCTCTTTTACTCCAGGCTCAAAGCAAGAAATAGACTTGATATATCACTACCCAAAATATTCTACAAACCAACATTTATCATTAAAATTGTACAAGAGGTAATATTTTTCTGCGAACTTTTTCTTATTGTTTTTCTTCACAATTATGTTAAAAACCCAAAATAATTTCAATTTATTTTTAAAATTTGGCTATTTTCTGTAAAAATTGTATTTTTAATTGATTAGGAAAATATTTTCTTTGATCAGCTCAGAGAGATGTTTCTGCCAGGCTACCCAATATAAAGCCATGGTTTGCTGAATAAAATTAACCCTCGCTTTTGTTCTTGGACTGCTGGTTGAAAATCTCAACCAAATACAGAAAAGAAGATGGCACTTGCTTGTCCCAGCTGGCTAATGCCACCAAAAAATAGCACAGATCAAATCAAAACTGTCTTTAATTCCCTCGTTTGAAATTGGAAGCCCCAGACAAGCTCAGTTCCAAAGCTTTACTCTCTTCTGGGCTCAGCTTCTGTGTGTGCCAGTGTGTATGTGCTTAAGAGACAGCTGCAAAAAAATATAAAGGGATGGACAAACTGTGGAGGCTTTGAACCATTAATATGGAATCTGTGCCTGTGTATGAACTTGCACATCCATTAATACTTTTATAATGAGCTATCAGTGGCATAAAGCAAGAGGCAAAATTAGTTTAAGCCAATATTCTGTGGTAGTAACAGATTTAAAACACCCACAGTGGTGCATGTACATGAGAACACATAACCTAACTTCTATTTCATTAAAGATTTTTTACTTCTTTATATTCCATCCCCATAATTTTCATTCTTTCTCATTAAGAAAGTATTTACATGTAAATTAATTAGGTTCTGTATTCAGGAGTTGCTTGAACACCAGGAAACCTTTTCTTTCCCAATTATTCTTAGCATGAGAAACCTTCCATAATTTTCCACATCAGTAATAAAGACTATCCTTCCAAAACCCTGGATTATGATAATAACAGTGTCACTGCCAATGGAATTATTCAATAAAGTCAGGTGCCGTGGGGGACAACTTCTTTTGAGTTATTTAAATCAGCACAGGAGGGAAGGTATTAAGTGGTCTGTATGAATTACAGGAATCGGGTTCATTTAAATCCCAACATAACACATATCGGATCTATTTAAATGTTACCACATCCTACATATTTTACTCTAGCCCTCTCTGACATTCTCAGTCCTTCACAGACTTGCCAGCATACTCAAGAAAACTAGCGTCCTTTGAAATGCACTTTCAAAAATACACTCATTTTTCATCAGCATCTCAGTAGTTTTAAGAAATTCCATAAAGATGATGGCCAAATGTTGCCTCCAGTGTAACCCCAGAGAGCTCAGTGCAGCTCAGAAGAGACAGTCTGGCCCTTCACGCAATTATTTCATAAAATTACAATCTGCTTCCTGTCAAACAGAAAAGGTAAAAGACTTGCACCATTAATCCCTTCAGTCAGAGCTTCGGAAGCCCTGGCTGACAAAGGGACTCTCTTGCACAATTCAGTGCCATTTGCATAAATAGTTTCTTAAACAAATAATATGTACATATATATAGTTATCCACATGTGCTCCTGAGACTCATTTCCACAAGGATCATCTCACAGGAGATAAAAACCAGGCAATATTCAGTCTCCTGATCAAAATCATCTGCAGCCGTAGAGATGAAAAGGACAAAGGACTGCCGTGAACAGCATTCACTGGAATCTTTCCTTTGTATTCCAGCATTTGAAAGATTGTGATGACAGAGAAGTCTGAATAAAGATAATTTATTCATTAATAATTTATTCAATAGTAAATTGAATAAATTTATTTCATCTGCAGAGGGTACCTGAGGAGACCTCAAATACATGCAAAACTCACATGCTCACAAAACCACTTTTGCACCATTGTTGTAAGGCAGGTGAAGCCCCAGCCTTCCATGAACAAGACTTGAGCCGGGCAGAGCAGTCAGGTTTACTGCACACCCTGTGGGCAGTCTGACCTATTATGCTTTGAAGTTTAATCTTAGCTACTCCAGGTCAGATTGCAATATTATAATTTTTTTATCCTTTCTATTGCAATGTGACATGGTGACAACAGAGGGTTCCCCAATAACTGTCTCTAAATGACTTTAGCTGAGAAGGTTAAACTCCCACCCCATTCAGCTCTGACTGGAATTTAGTTATCAAAAATCCCCCTTCCTCTGTAGCAGTAGCAACATCCCATCACCTGCAGATACCCAGGGGAGCGCAGTGCAATTTGGTCAGTCCTGTATCTGCTCTACCAAGAGCTGAATTCTAAGACAGTCATGACAAAAGAAATGCATGGAAATGTTTATTTTATGTTTCTCAATAATCAGTATTACTAAAGATAGGCATTATCATTTTCACAGAATTGCAGAGCAATGATCTTTTTTAAAAGTTGTCGCAGTGTTTCTGTATTCAGTCCTTCCATATGGTTGTTAGAATAGAACCCTATGATAAGATATCTGTGGATCCAGTGGATCCTGTTATCCACTATTGTGATTGCTTGGGCATTACCAGTGTTTAAATCACAAATCATTGTTAGATTCTCTTTGTTTACGGGAGGAAATAACTGGTCTGGTTTAACATATTTAGAATCAGGATGAGAGACTCTATTCAGAGAATATATACAGTGGGAGAGCTTCAGAAACAAGGAAAATGGTACTACAGAACTCCTCCATCAGCATTTTCTCTAAGCAGAACTTACCTTCTTTGTCTACAAACTGCGATTCTCATAAGTGCTTGTGATCAGCCTCAGAAGCCCACTTAAAAAAATTCCACTGACTTCAAGGAATCACAACACTAAGCAACTACATTAGGCCCAATCTTAATGAGTGAACCACACCAACATTTTTAAAGGGTACTTTCTATTGCCCCTAAGGGTGCCAGAGGCTTTAAAGATTAATCATAGTTAAATATTATAATTAACACCTTCTTAACGTGACAGTTCTTGGCATGAGAGAATGCTGTTCTCATGGGAGTTGCCTGTAGAAGTTTCACCTTTTCACACATGAAGTGAGGTAGTTGAAGCACTGGGAGCTCATCTAACATCATTCTGCATCATTTGTGAAGCAATAATAAGTAGTTAATTACATATCTTTGCATTCTGATCCAGTGAATAAACAGCACTGAAAAATGCTCAGCAATGAAAAGGACAGACAGATCTTAGAAAGGAGTATCTTTCTTTTTGTCAGGATTGCTTGAAGAACTTGGGGAAGAATGTGGGTTCTGATTCAGCACATGAAGGAGAGAAGGCAAAACAAAACCAATATTACTCTCACCTCTGCAATGATGCCCACACACCCAGCAATGACTGCAGCCTTGGCTTGAGCCCCACTCATCCCTCCGAGACCAGAAGTCACAAACACCTTCCCAGACAGGTCTTCTGCCTTCAAGTAGCGACGGCCGGCATTGAGCACTGTGAGCTGCACACAGCAAATAGGGCAATCACCAGGAGATATTTTCCCTAGAATCCCTAAAATTTAAAAATCTTCTGTCCCTTTTGCAAAGAGAAAAACTCTGTGGTACTGGCGCCATGGAACAGTTTTAATCTTTTAAGAAACATACTACAAAGCGATGTTCTAAAACCATCTGTCCTGATTATTTTATTTCATGGTGAGAGAAATAAACATAACCAGTGCTTCCCAATATGCTGCTCTTGAGATACAGAGACTTGTTGAGGATGGCTGCAGAAAACAGGCAAGAAAAGGTTTTTATAGAACACATTTAGTCAATTTGCGCTTCACGTATTGTAGCTAAATATGAGCTCAGATTGAGACCTTGACTGCAAATCCCTTCAGGTCTGTGTTCTGGATAAGATGCATCTAAATGGAAAACCACTAATGGTTTAAGGAGCAGGCAATGAGAACTTCTTTAGTAGCCAGAACATGCTCTCACAGCAACCCAATTCACTCCAGTCACCAGACACTGTGGGAGAAAGCCCTTCTCCAAAAAGTACTGACACACAGACCTTTCCCAGTTTCTTACCACAGTCCCATGTACTATTCCCTGAGGCCCAATGTAGCAGTAGCTCCCTGCAGTCATCTGACCGTACCTAGAGACAGCAATGAGCACAGTGAGACCACACCTCACTCAGGCTGGAAGGAGTTCTCTACTTGTGTTTTCGGTATAACAAAAAAACCTCCATGTTTTGATTTGTTGTTCAGTGTCTGCTATTATCAAATTCACATCTTAATGGAGTTTTATCATTAGCAATGCACCAACACATTTCCAGAAGAGTGCTTAGTTCATTAAATTGAGTTCAAAATTGCACTGATCAAAAACTGAGGGTAAATTTGCCTTGGAATTTAGCATAGTGAGTAGGACACAAGGACACTCCTTTTCACCTTGTTGGCACCTTTATGCCATTGGTTTTCAGACACATAGTTGTGTTTTAATTTGTTAGCCCAAAATGTTTGTTCACATTTCTATTAAATTCCCAGAGAAGGGAGACAGGTGTTTAATTTATTCTCTCCATGGTACCCAAAAGAATAATAATCTTGTGCTCATCAACTAGGTCGACAATAGTTTGTAAAAATGTTTAAAAGTATGTAAAAATAATTTAAAAAATAGATAATTTACTACTTCAAAATTTCTCTTAGCCTGAAAGAATGTTTCATAACTTACATTTTCCATAAATTGCAAAACAGCCTCTGCAAAATGGAACTAGCCAGTACTATAAGTGGTTTATGATTAAGGCTTCAGGCTGCTGTTCAGCCAAGCCTCTCACATAAACCTAATATTAATTACTGGCAGACCTCAATTACATCCTTATATATGTGGCTGAACATAACTCAAACTCCAAAGTAATTCCACTTAAGTGTGCATTAATGCTTTGCAGCATCAGGAATTTATGCAGCACAGTTGAAATCCATCTGCATTAGAAATTTTAACCAGCCGCTGCTTGATGTCTGAATTAAATTTTAGTCAAGTATTTGATATATTTTAATAGTGAGCTATCTTCTTACATTGTTACTCCCAAAGCAAACATCTTCTCATATTCATCTCTGGAGGAATAGTTGGGAATAACCTAAGAAAACAATCAAAATAGAATCCATATAAGCAAATTGGAGATTTAAGCAGGTATTTTTAACAGCCCACGTTTCTCTAACACAGATAGAGAAAGTAAAAAACAGGAGAAGTGATTCAGGTGTTTTATTTCATGCATTCTAGTATAAAAAAAAAAAAAAAAAAAAAAAGACATGCCCAGTCTTTCTAGCACTGTGATTTCCATGCAAAAACTAGCCTGCAGGGAGATAGATATTGAATGGCTCAAAAGACTGGCAGAAACCAGTATTTTCACTTGTCCAGCTTCCCTTCCAAGCAAAGCAGTCCAGATATCTGAGCCACTGATTAATAATCATCTTTTTGCTTACTGAGAGCTTTTAAATCTTTCAAACTGAGCCTAGACGAACTGTTTTGGTCAAGAACACGTAGGGCTCAGGTTCAGTAGGAACAGAAGTTGTCTAATAAGGAGAGGATTGTTTCCTCCATCACTGCAGATCAGCACATGTGAGATGAGTGCAACTGTACTGGAATAAAGGCTGCAGAATTTGGACCCCAAATTCTCCTGCCTATTGTTGTAAATGTGGATAATATAAATCATATTTTAATTCAGCCAACACTTGAAAATTAAACAGAAGAGGAGGTGAAAGAAAACAAGATGCTAATACCTACCATGCCATTAGTAATGATTAAACGAGGAGCACGGGGATGGCTGGGGAAGAGTCCCAGAGGATGCCCACTGTACATCACTAGTGTTTGCTCTTCTGTCATCTCTGACAAGTAGTGCATTACCAACCAGAACTGAAAGAAAAAGCAAGGAAAAGAAGGAGTCTGCTTCTATCTCACATTTATGGGGTAAACTTTGAGAATGAAGGTAGCTTTAGAGATAATGAGGTGTACTCACATACGGAATAACAGCCAGAGCTCTCAACACATTCTTTCATTTAATAAAGTCCTTTAAGGGATATCACCAGCAGGAAACAAATCATCGACTAGCAAAAATCTGAATAAGTTCCAGAATAATTTCTCCAGTAAAAACCTCAGAAATCCTTCACTTTTAAAGCCATTCTAATTTTATCTTGAGGTTAAACATTTGGATCTGGCACTTCCCTGGCAATCTTTCTAAAGACACACTATAAAATTTTTCCTATAAAATTGATTAAATACTCATGCTTATTGTTCATCCTAATCTGATTTTCAGTGTCTAATGCTTGTTGTCTGTTCAATAAATGGTTATTAAAATGTGCACTTAAAATTTTTTTTTAATTTTCTTCTCAAAAAACCCCTCAGCTTTCATTTTGGATGCTGAAGAAACAGTTTGATACACCCAGGAACCTACAAATAAATACATCTCAACTCTGCCTGCATAATTCAAAAGTTACTCTTGATGAATGACAAAACTACACTTTGATCACCTTAGCTGACTATAAATTTAACTCTCATCCATCATTACCTGTGACAAAGCCCATTGCATTCCACAGGACTTTTAGTATGTGACAGCTAGGCCTGAGAGAAGCTTTCCCATGCAATATTGGAATTCAACAATTACTTGAAAACTGGAGTTTCCATAGGGACACAGAAACAAGATATCAGTGACAAATAAACAACCACAGTTGTCACAGGCACTTAAGCTCTGTAGCTGTGGCTTCAATCTGAATTAAAAATGGTACAGATTTGGGGCCAGTCCCTTCTAATCTAGTCAATTCCCCAAACTGCAAGGTAAAGGGAACAGGAGAAAGTTAGCAGAGTTACTGTCTTGCTTTTTACATCTTGGTTTTGTTTCATGAAAAATGCTGAACAATCAAATTCTGCTTGTAGGACAGAACAGGTAACTGGTTGGACTCTCAACTCTTCAGCAATCTGGGAAAAACATTCTAATAAAAACTGGAAGGTGTGAGACAAATACATCTTCTTCCTTTGAAAGCCATAACTAGTAACAAGGAAGCAAAAGCCTGAAAGCTTTTCTCAGCTAAAAGAGCAGATCTTTGTCTGCAGGCCTGTAAAGTTAGCTCTGGACATAATTCTCTCATTTGAAATTATCCAGAAGAAAAGCACAAATCTGCATGGATGATATAAACCAAATTGAACCATTTTCCTAGGAATTTTGCAATGACAGATTTTACTTTTTTTTTTAAACATGCTGTTTTCAAGCTACAAACAGAATAAAATGTTCTGTGGCAACTGAATCATTCATGTGATTGCTACTCTAGGCAGGGAAAACAAAAAATGTTTTGTTTGTTCTGCTGTGAAACAACTGCAGGTCATGGGTCTGGCTTGGATGAGAACAAGAGAAAAAAGAACATTTCTGACTTTGGCAGCACTTTTACCTCACCTTGCAGCTCAACATCTGCCTAAGGAATGTCAGGCCAATAAGGGCCACTATATAAACTGCTGGCACTGCTCACCTCAGAAATGCTGTAACACTCATGTAGTCAACAGGCAATAGTTAAATGGTGTTTACTAATTGATACACAGAATAAAGAAATTGTGTGGATTGCCATGGTACCTTTGTTTCAAAAAAAGTCAGAACAATTTTGCCTCAAAATCTGCCTAAGTCTTCCATTTACCAGATCGGGAAACTGAAGTGTGAGTTTTCTTTTAACCACAAATGAAAAACCCCCTAACTGGGAAGAAACCCTAGGTCAGTCAGTCCCATGCTATGGTGAGGAATTCATTCCTCTCCCCTAACTAGGAACTCCATTTACACATTAGTTTTGCTGGGATTCATTAATAAGCAAGAGGCCAGATTCAGACAGAGCCACAACAAGGTGCACATGTGATCCTTCAGGTCAAAAGCTTTTGCTTATGTAAGCTACAGAGCTACAGACCCAGAGCCTTTTTTTTCTTAACACAATGAATTTGGCCCTCAAAATCATAATTCTAAATATGCTGCTGATTCCAAATATCTCCTGCAAATGTTTCCTGCATGCATTTTGCAGATTAAAGTGAGTGTATTTATTGACCTTTTTGATATAGGAGAATAGAGATTATACAATGACAACTTAAAACATCCCAACTTTCATTTTAGAGAGACTTTTACCCACCTGCCACTATTCTTACAAGATCAGGGTTTGTAGTGAAGTGCACCATTAGCTGGCCAGCTAGCACAGATATTTACAGCTAATCTGATTTGCTAGGAAAAAGAAGACTGAAGATTGCACTTCCTTAAATCGAAGCCTTGTTTTTATTCCACTATTTGTGGAAAATGTTGCAAAAGTAACACACACAAGCATAAGATACACTTTTAGTTTCTTAGACTAACTGTGGAAAATACAGAGGCACACACATATGCATCAGAGAAAGACAAGACTGGTCTTTATATCATCGTACACAGTTTGGTACCTTCACGGTATCATGTTTAGTGTTTCTGTTGGGCTGTCCGTGCTCTCCTCACTAAATAAAGCTCTCTCCATCTCTGCAGTTCCCAACTGAGCATTCCTCTATCCAAACAGGATGTTTTGGAGTGTTTTGAGGCAACGACTGCCAAGAACTATCCTGAACTGCTTAAGCAGAATATGCGTGGGGGAGGGTGAAACTGGTTTTGTTAAGCAAGCTGCAAAACCATCACTGTCCTACCTGTGCCCAGTTGCTGAAGACCTGCCCATTTCCTCCATAAGTGACAAGCTCCTGAGGAAACTGAAAAAGACAATTTAACAATCATGTCAGCACTTTGCTGAAACCTCTCACTTTATCTCTGAGCTACTTTTGTAATCTCAGTAATAAATCTTTCCTAGAGCTTATTGCATCAAAATCCTCTAGGTTCTTGAAATCAGAAAGTAACATCATAAAAGTGACAAATTAAGAAAAGAAAGAAAGAGTATTACTTTTCAAACTCAGTTGTATCATGAGCTGAGCTCTACCTGTGTCTCAGGCAGTGACCAAGCCCCTGTATATGGTGCCTGTATATCTAAAATTTTCAGTATTTACGTGAGAGCACATACAGGAAGTATCTTGCAGATTTGCTGCTCCCTATGAATCCAGTTCCCTTTCACTGCCCCTTACCTGAGCCACTGAGGGATCCAGGTTATTCATGATCATCAGCATAATGGCAGCAGCTGATTTGGTCTTGCAAGGGTATTCTCCTATGGGGTATGCTCTGAAAGGGTAGTCATAGAAATTTAGAAGGAACACTCCAGCTCTCAACAAACACCAGAGAGATATCCCTACATGTCAGGGATATTCAAACTTGTTTAATTTGCAGGTTTTCATTCAGAAGGGAGAGGGGGGGAAAAGAAAAAAACAAAGTGCAGATTTGGAATTAAATATGTACCTTAACAGGCAAATCAGGTTTTAATTATTATTAGAACTAAGCAAAGCCAATAAATTTTAATCAGCTTATCATTTGCTGAATAGGTTAATCACAATTGATAAATATGGTGGTCAAGAACTCATGGCTTTTTAACTGGATTTTTTGGGGGGTTGATGGAACTAGCCTCTAATACAGAGGCCAAGGCCAAGCAGCTAAGTCCTGCAGTGCCAAGGGAAACAGCAGCAATGGAAATTGCCTTCAGGCTCGTCAATCCTTGTTATTTAAGACACTATCTAAGGTTTGAGTTTCAGGCTCAAAGAAACTCTCAAAACCTGAACTAGTTAGGAGAAATATGGGCCTTTTTACTAAGATACACTTCATCTAGAAAGTTGAGAAGTGAGGTATAAGAAATACAAAGATATTCCAAGTCAGGTTTCCTGGCATTAATGTGCTTCAGTCATCTCATTGTTATTCTCCACCATCTGTTTGTCATATCAAATTGCCCTAAAACTTCTACTCTGGGATTTATACTGTAGCTGTTCAGGGCAGGGACTGTTCCTGTGCTGTGTTTGCACAGGTTTTAGTACAATTGTGCTGAGGTCTCTAAGGTGTGATACCTAAAGGAAATATAACCACACATGAAGAGTTTTACTCCTTCCTTTTCCCTAAGCAAAGCCACCATTACAGATTCTGGAAATTCCTAGAGGTGGATTAGGATCATTTGCCATGGATTCTAAACGATCTTCCTTTTATTGAACCACGGATCTTCAGTGGCTGGGCCCTTGCTTTGTACAGGGAAAATATTTACACTGAAAAGGTTCAGCTAAGGAGGACCAACTACAAATAAAAATTGGACATCCGCTGTCCAGCTCATGAGCCAAGATCTGGAATGTATATTCTAGAGATTGAGCAAATGGGCTCTTCCCATGATCACATTCATTATATCCTAGCTTTTTACATCAGGATACTAAAACAAATGCCTTGTACTCATTGCCAAACCAAAGAGAAAGCCTTTGAGTTTTTCCCCAATGCTTTTTTTATTAGTGATTTCTGCTTTTCTAAACATGACGTGATAAAACAGGATTTCTGTGGAATGATACCAATTCATCAAAAGGAGATATTTACACATAGTATTGCTCAGAACATAAGAAACCGAACTTTGAGTTATCAGTTGAATGTGCTGGCATGGGAACATGGCTGTTAAATGCAGCTGTGCTCCCTGGACACACACAACAAAAATCAAATATTACCAGAGTGCAGAGAACAAAAGGCATTTTCTTATTCTCAGACTGCAATAACCTATTAGGAAATGCTCAGTGAAATGGTCACAAAGAAAAAGATATTTGAAGCTATCAAAGAATCCCTGCTGCCGTTATTGGAAACAAGCTGGTGGACAGCTGTCTTTCAGACAGTCTTCCAGTTGTCCTGCCCTTAGCTGAATTCTGCAGGATCTGATCCCCAGGCTAAAACTGACTGCATAGAAACATGGATGTGCGTGGAAATCAGACTTGCTTTGTTCAGGTCTCTGCACAGACATTAACCAGGCCCTGTTGATGCAAAAAGTAATCAAAAAGTCTAAAAAAAGCAGCTATCCCCTGGCAGCCCTCACTAAAACTGTTCTGCTTCAAAAACATTAGCCCCAGCAGACCTAGAATGAAGTGATAGTCCAAGACCAACAGGCACAGCATATTACAAATCAGGGTCACATACAGGTTCCAGCGGGAAAAAAAAAAAAAAAAACAAACAAAAACGTACTGTCTTTCTTTTAAGCCCAGAAAGCCTTCTCTACTCTGAGAGCACAGATAATCCAACCAAACACTCACAGTAGGTCTCCATTCACTCAGCTAGATTTGCCTCCTACTTCAGTTGAGGCTTGACTTGCAGCAGCTCAGGACAATTGCAGGTTTTCTATCAAGGTTGTAGTTAGAGGTCTCTGCCTCTAGAAACTAAGAACTTGCCATGGGGTAGAGTCTTTGAGGTCCCTGTGTGTGGTAGATCTGGCATCACCAAGGACACAACCTCTCTCAGTCCTTTCCCTGTGTTGAGTGGAGCTGAGCTTTCCAGCAGTGAGGCTGCCCTGGCCCTGTCACAGCCTATCCAGAAGGAGGCACACTGGTTCCCTACCAGTCCCATGGAGCATCTCAAAACATCTAGCAGCCTTCCCTTGGAAATTAAAACACTGCAAAACACAGAACAGCTGAATTATCAGATGATGAGTTTGATTATTATGTTATGACATAAATTCTACAAGAGGTAAATTAGGACACAGCAATGCCACTATTTAAAGGTCAGTTCCATAGGTGAAAGCTGGTAAACCATGGCAGCCAAATACAACGTGAACCATCCAGGCCTTACCTCATCTCAATATCTGGGAAGAATCTGTACATATAGATATGGCCATAGAGCCTGAGTTCTTCAGCAAATTCTGGTGCCAGCTTCTTTTGCACTTCAGGTGGGAAATAACGCAAGGCATTGCGCAAAGCCAGCTGCCAAAGGAAAGAGAAAAAGAGAGAAAAACCAAGGTAAAAGAGAAAGGGAGGTAAGTGGGTGGCTGTGAACTTTAATCAGACTCAACTAGAAGCCAGACTAAGCTATTACAAGGACAGTGCAATTCAAAAGGCCAAGCTCACATCAGTGGAGCTGCATTCCCAATTTCCCAGTGAAGTGTTTCTACCTGCATCTTTCCTTGTAGATTCTGTTGCTGTAAACATGTAACCATCCTCTTCCCACCTCTCTCCCCAAAACTGCATGGAGACACTATGGAGATTTGGGAAGTGCTCAATCCTATCCGTATCAGACACAAATGAATTCCTTCTCATAGTGCTAGAGGGCACTAAACTACCAAGGAAATAATTGTTCAGAAATTCTTAAAAGTGAGACTCTAAACTCCTTAGAGACACTGAAGACCCTACTGTACTTTCCATTCAAAAGGGATCTTAGGCCAAATTTCTGTGACATGCTCCCAGATGAAGATGTTCTTGGGCTAAGTTTTATTAAGGATTCACTCCATTTAGCATCCTAATGTATTGCAGAGGGTGGTGGTTTACATTATTTTATTGATGCTACATATATCACTTCCAAATTAGCTAGAGTGATTACTAGGCACTCAATTAAATTCTGCAGATGATACTACGTGGCTTATACTCATTATTGCCTCCAAAGACATTAGCCTTGGTTTGCAAAGTACAGTATGTCCTTTTGGATGAAAGAAACCATAAATAAATCACTATCTTTAGCAACAGTCTGTTAAGTCATGTCTCTGTATTATGTGTTTCATTTGATTAAAACCATAACGAGAACAAAGATTTTATAATCTTTAAATAACCAGTTTCACGCAAAGATCTTGTAAGTTCCCTGACAAATGCCAACACCATCCAAATGACTTTCAGTTGAAAAGATTCACAAATCACATGGAATTTCACATCTTCATTAGGCTGATTTTCCAATGGCTGTGGAAAGGACAGAAAGGGATCAGGGTTGCTTCCAAATCTGCTAACAGCTCAGGTTTTGAAAGGGCTGAGTAGAGCACACATAACTCGTCTTTGTGACACCTGCAGTTTGCACTTAGTTATGGAAGCAAGGATCTTCTGGAGGCAGTGAAGAGGTGGACTATAGTACAGACATCTAGAACTACCCAGGCCAGGTATCATCACCATCCACCCCGGTAAGCAGTTCTGAAAAGCTCTGTAAAGCCCTCAGCTCAGTAATGAAACTCCTCATTCAGCCTGACTGTGCTCAGGCTCTTACATCTAAAGCTCTCCCTCCCCTTCATTTGAGCACACAGGGCTCACATACCTTAGAGCATCCTGAAAAAACAGTATCTCTAAATCTAAAATGCTTCATACTAAAAGAGGTTTTCATTGGGTCACTTGCTACTGAGCAGGCATTCACCTTCACAGATGAGCTGATTTACACCAGCTAAGGATCAGACCAGTAAAACCCTACAAATTAGATTTACAAATCCACACAGAGAATCATGGGGGAAAAAACCTATTTAGCAGATGAGAAAATGCAAATTTCATCTTCTAATGCCACCTTATTCTTCTCCAGTCAGATTTTTCAAGGGCATGTTATTAATAAGCGCAAAAATCTGGGCTGCATCCACACCATGACAAAATGCACAGGGATTTCCAAGGTCAGTCTCAGAGGTGAGCAGCCACTACAGGAGATTCGGGATCTAAAAAATTTCTGAAGTACAAATAAAATCATCTGCACCCATTGGTTTCCAAAAGGCAAACATTGGTATTTTGGCTCCCTTGAGAACTATAAGGATGTGTTTTTTGCTTTCAGTGTGGTAAAGATCACCCACAATCTTTGATCAATACATTATTTGTATTAAAATGAAACTGATGGACAAATATTTTTTTCACCCTAAAAATACAAGCAAGAAAAATTTGATATGATTTTCAAATAAATTCACTTGGACTGAGCCTCCATCCTATTAGTGTTACACATTAGCAGAAGCCTGAATTTTGATGATGCAAACATTAATGAAACATGAACTTGAATGTTACATGAAGGGTGGGAAGGGCACCTTGCACAGACAATAGACATCTTGTAAAAGACGACTAAGACTATGGCTTGTTTAGCTTAACTGAATGAAGGTGACATTTGATTGCTGTCTTACTGCAGGATAAATGTCAAAGCAGGAAAGAGCTTCAGGAAAGTGCTGGAAGAAGAATAAATGGCTTTGAATTACCTGTAAAAAATGTAGTCTTAGAGTTAGAGGAATTTAAGAGATTCTGTAACAGTCTCTTGACAAAAGAGCTGGGGCACTCAAAAAGATGAAGCCTGACTGCTTTATGAAAGGGCAATTGCCACGTGCATGGGGAAGAATTTTACATATTCATTATTGAGTCAAACTGAATAACCTGAGAAAGGCGCTCAAGGAGCAAATTCAAATAGGCTGATCGTTATGGTTTTCTGGAAAGAAAATACATTTCATTAAAGCACCATAAAAAACATTCTTGTACTGTTAAAGTAGGATTGATTTACCTATAACTGACATACTGCATTCTGAGTATTATCATGCATTTTATATTTAGGTGTTCTTCCTGTTCATAGCTTTCTCTGACAGAAGCTTAAGCTGCACGTGCTCAGTACCTCTAAGAGACAGGGTCCAGAGTTCATTGGTGTCTTAAAAATATTAATTGCAGATATATTCCTGAGCCTGATAAGCAGGTTAAAAAAAAAAAAAAAGGCACAACCTGCTCTGAATTTGCCCAGTTACTGATTTAATTCAGCTCAGTGCAATGTAAGCACCAGATGCAAAGTCTTCCTCTTAGATCTGCCAGCTGGAGCTAACATTTGGTTCTTGCATTTAAGCTTTAGTCACTATTAGGATGTCTTTTTTTTTTTTTTATTCCCTGGCATTTATATAGTAAAACATGATTTTGCTGCTATTTAATCAATATTTAGACCTCTCAATGTCAACAAAATATAGTCAAAACAACCCATGAAATCCTGCTCCCATCGATCAGCTGTAAATATCTTTGTTGGGGTGATTCTCTTGAGAAATCAAGTGAACCAGGCTTTTTGTTAATTGGTGTTTGTTGAAGAGCCAGTGCCTCTTCAGAAGGAATGTCATTCATTTCCATTTTCCAAGAAGATAATCAGAACTTGCAATTTAAGACTCTTTAGATACTCAAACATTATGGTTTGCAGTCTCCCTGCTTACTGATGGAAAGGGAAGCACAAGGAAAGGAAGTGATGAGCTTAACTCTGCAACAATTTCCTTTTTAGGCCCTTTTCCAGTGGAGATGGTGTTCCCCTCCCATCTCTTATTGTCTGCCTGATGACATCCAGGCCCAGAACCTTAGGTAGCACTATCCTCTAAACAGCAAGCAAGATTGTTTCACTTACTATTCTTCCTGGTAGGTCCCAGTTTCAATCAGCTCAGCCGGAAAATAAACATGGATATTTCTGACTGGCCATTGCTGTAAATGCCCTACATGTTGTGAAAGTTTAACCAAGTTCTTTATTGTCCTGATGTTCCAAAACAGGAGCTAGTATGCTGACCTTCCCAAATCCCATATGAACTTTTTAACCTGTCCTCGTTTCTGGATGTGTAAAGGAATCAGAGGTCAAACATCCTGCTTCTTCACCAGAAAGTTGAAGAACAGCTCCAGGTGCTGAGTGACCTTCCAGGCTCTGGCTTTCAGTTCATCCTATTAGGATGTTACCAAGCAGCAAAGCTGCTCCCTAAGGGATGGGGAGCCAAGAAGAGCCAACACAGCCAGCAGGGCAGGCACCTCCCCAGCCAGGGTCCAGCCTTGTACTACCTGAGGGAGGTGAGCAGGACAGCCCAGGAATGGCAGCCAGGTTCCACCAGGAGTCCAGGTCATCAGGCAAGAAGAGGGTGATGTGCAGCTCCAAGGCTGGAGTGCAAGCCAGGACCAGGTCTGGTGATGGTTACCAGAGAGAGATGTGGCCCAGAGATCACAAAAAGGTCCATGGTGGTGTCAGCCCACAGGTTGCAGACTAGAGCAGTGAGGTCACTGGCTGGGCACAGGGACACACTAAGGCAGAACCAGAGCCATCTCCAGCATAGCTGAGACTAAACTCTCAGGCCTGAGCTTAAATGGAGCCCCTAAGCCTATGAGAGGTGGGCGTGGGTGGAGACCTCAGGAGAGGCTCATCAAGGTCATCAAGGCCCATGAGTGTTCCACCACAGAAACACAGGTGATGCTGCAATCAGGGGACAGATGACCCTGCTGGGTAGCTGAGGACTGTAATGTGACTTGGCTCGAAGATCCATAAGGGAATTGCTGTGGAGATAAAGGCAGATCATTTTTCTAATATTGAGCAAAACTGAGAAGTGCACATTCTTCCCAAGTTGCTCCAGTTTTATTGGAATGTCAGTGAGTATGGAGCATTCAACATCCTTGCTCTGTAAGGGACGCACCACACATCGGTTTTAAGAGTAGTTTCTTTGTAGCATATTTATATTAAGATACAGATGCTGAGAAACAGAAAGCTAGAGTTTCCTGAGCTGTGGAGGGAGGGAAAGGGAGAGGATGTGGCTGTTTCAGGCCTCAGGCAAAGAATGCTGAAGGAAGAGAACTCAGGAAACATATAATCAGAATCAGTTCTGAGATATGGCTTGATTTATCCAAGAAGATTAAAGTTGGTATGATAGGAAGAATTAGATACTTCTTCAGCAAGTCCCAAAATGCTCAGTTCTTTATAAGTCTCACTTACAGGATTTCTGTTATAACCACAAGAGGAGGCCCAAGAAAATAAAACATTGGCAGTGGTGAAGTTTCTTATTGTAATAAGGACTAAAACTGGAATGAAGGCATAAGAAGAGAGGGACAAATCCCAAGGAAATCAGCAGAGCATTATTAACTTCACTGCTGTCAAAGCTTCCTCTGAATATTTCAATTAGAGAATGAACACAGTGTCATACATAAAGACAAATCTTGCAATATGCTCAGCGTTACACTGTCAACAAAATCTGGAAGTCGGTACCAAGACTTAAAAAAACCCTTGTAGACGGACAACCTTTCTGTCTACCTGTTTTTCTAAGCATGGAACACCTCTTAAAAAAAGAGAAGTTTGACTTCAGATATGAAAAAAACACAGCTGAGCCTCTAGCTCTGCTGAGAGTTTAAGGTGGAGGATTAACCATCAAATAAATCAGAAAAGAAGCTTTAAAACCTTTAACAGTCTAATAAAAATCCAACTCACATGACCTCTTATCACATGTAGGAGGCAAGATGGGGCAGTGAGAGAAGGATGTTACACAGTAGACTGGAGGCAAGAACTCAGTCTACTGTTGTCTTTCTCTGAATTTAAATGAGGTAGGAAAGTATTCCAGTCATGTAAGAAGTGAGAACTTTCTCTCCCTGGATAAAAAGTAAGGTTTGGCATCCTTCTGAGATACCTTCCCCTCTCCTGCAACATGAACTTCCTGCTATAGCAGGCTTCTGGGGAAAAGTGATTTAGCAAGGAATAAAATGGAGATGATTGGCAACATTCTGACATGCAGTGAAGACCACTCCCCACTCCTTTATCTTCACAGCCATCATGACAGCCCTCTTTGAACACTTCCATGTGTCTGAGCTGTCCCAGGCACAGACAGGATGCCTCAGCCATGAATGCTTCTGACATTGAAGTAAACCTTTGTTGGATATCTCACAGCTGTTCCTCTTTCTACCCTTTGACTAGACTCTCCTCTGCTTCGAGAAGTGGACTTAGAAAGAATTTGACTGCTGATGCCAGTGGGGAACTCCCACGAAGGCAAGGAAGTTGTGTGCAACTTGTTAGTGAGGAAGGAGCTTCTGTGTTCTGACCAGACTGTCACAGTGTAAGTGATGTTACATGTGATGGAGCACAGACTTTGAAACTAAGGAACCCACCTTATTCTCTCCCACACAAATTCCTAAGGATCTTCACCCACTGACTATTATTTTCTGCTCATGATTTTTTTTTAATCTCAACCATGACATAATGCAGTGGTTACTTTAGTGTGTACATAGACTAGTCAAACAAAAAGAGACAGGAAAATAATTACGCAACTAAAGACAAATAATTAACTTAACTCCCTACAAACTTGCCTAAATTGCAGGATGCCCAGTCTACTGGTTAAAATAAATCATCCTCAGATATTTTATGCAAATATAAAGGTGTGTAGCTGCTACTATGATGCTGATTCATCACCTGTGATGTTTATTGTATTGGAGGGGTTAGCTCTCATTCCCATACCATACGCAGGGCTTTTGCAGCAGCATTCAGAATTTCATCTTCAAGGGACAGTGCTGGATTGAAAACACTGAAGTCTAATGCCTCTTGTTTAACCATTTAAAGTCATGGAAGCTGTTGTGCAGCAAAATCTCTTCCATATCAACCTGCTTACTCTGGAGGAGGAAGAAAGGAAGCAAGCAGAAGAGCAATCCAGTACTTTGTCCCATTACACAGTGAATTACATAACACCGAGGAAATACATTTGCCACGAAGTTATGTGCACTCTCAGAAAAGCTTTTGAGACAGACAGGTCTGCTGCCCCAACCTGCACTTGTCTGAAAGAAAGAGAAGTGAGGCCCCATGAAACCCCAAGTTACCTTCTTCTCCTGAGCAGTGAGATTGGGGGTTCTCACGGGTGCATGGGGTATTCCTTTTCTCCGACCTTTGTTTTCAGGCAAAGGGTTTAGAGGAAGACCACAACAGATTTCCTTCAAGCTGGTCATTGCTGAGGAAACACGAGGAGGAAAGGCAAGGCAAACTGGAGAGATGCAAGGAGCAGGAGGTACAAGGAAGGTGCAGGCAAGCAGGATGCTCAGTGATTCAAATGCACCACCACCCCAGGGCAATCCCGAAGAGGACAGCCTGTCCTTTGGCTTTTGCAAACAGGGCTGTCAAGCATAGAGGGCAGGTGGTACAGATGACACACCTCCCCCCTCTCTGCCTTGTCATTGGCTCTTCTACCCTCACCCAAAATGAATGATTCACAGTTTCACCGTTTATTCTCTGGGTGCTTTGTCAATTGCCACGAGGAAACCCAATCACTTTCCAAAACACCTGACTCCCTCAGTGTCCTAGTGAGAGTCACGGACTGGAGCATGAACCTTGCCTGAGACCTAAAGGATCCTATATTTACACTAATAATTATTATTCACACCACTGTTCATACACATTGTCCAGCTAAGATGGACATTCTCTGTTTGACACCTCTAATATGGGCTGTTCCTCAGATCTCATCAATTTGTCTTCTATACGATAGCAGTAGTCAATGATAACAGCAAAATTTTCCCCTTAGGTGTTAACTCTTCTTGGCTCACAGGCGTGAATGGATTTTCACGGCATTAAACTGGAAAGGTGCTCATTAGCACTGGTAGTGGATTCCTCAAGACAGTCAATAATTGGAAGAATGAAGGCTTTCAGTTCTATGTCAATTTTATACCCTACAGTCAACAACTAGAAAGTCTTATGGTACTGACATCCAGGCATCACAGGTAAATGAATGTACTCAACTTTGATTTTCCACTTACCAGTGCAACATGAACTTTGCTCTCCATTTTAGGTTGTTGTTTAAATTACACAGCAGCTTCTTAACCTTTATTATGTCTATTAAACTACAAGTGCCACAGTTTAAGCCTGGTGAAATTAACTAGGAGAAGCATTTCACTTAGGAACGAACCTAAAATGTGCAAATAAAAAAATACAGCATTTCCCCAGAAAGGCAGCAATCAACAAGCAATGACAACAAAGCACAACTATTAAATGACAGCCTCTCATTAATGTCAGATCTACTTTAGCTCTAGGACATCCCCAGCTCCCACTGAAGATGCTCGAGTTGAAAGAACTCAGAACATCCCAGGGGAGATGAGCACACAGCAGACTCAGACCCTCTGAAGGATACTGTCATTTATGGCAGGAGAATTTTGTTTTGTAATTAAACAGTATTTTAGCTGCTTTCAAACAAAAGGCAAAGACAAAAAGGAGAGGAAAAGCCTTCATATTTCAAAGTTTTCTGTTGGGTTTTCATATTAAAAACATACCAAAAAAAAAAAAAAAAAAGAAAAGAAAGATAAGGGTGAAGTAAAAAAAATTCTACACCAAAACCTAGTTAATAACCCTGCCTTACATAAACATTCCCACCCCAAAGGGAAATAAATCTTTCCTTATTCTTCTTTGTATGACCTACATTCTTCAAATCCCTCTAAGGTCTGATCCTGCACACACACGAGCACAAGAATAACCATGTTTGCATTGGACTCCCCTCGGACCTGCTTCCTCTGTGACACAGAGCAGAAGTTATTGGCATTATACTGATGAGAAACCTGAGGAAAGAGAGAAAGAAGAAGTTGGGACACACACCCTGAATTAATTTTTATTTCCTAGGGCTGAACACTTTTACCCCCTGATTGCTACATGCTGGAGTCTCTCTGGTTCCCCGGGAGCTTTGTGCTGGAGTTACCAAATCTGACTTCAGGGATTCTGCCAGTGCAGACATCCCAGCTTCTCCAGGCAGTCACAAGTCCCCTCTCTGCCTGGCTTGTCCCAGCTACTGCCAGTGATTTTGGAATGAAGCTCGTGCGTGAAACTCCGCTTGCACAACAAGGGAGTTACACCTAAACCCGGCCCCACTGTGTCCCCAGGCCCGGGGGTGCCCGGGGGTGCGAGGGCCGTGTCCCCGGGGTTCGGGGCAGGTGTCATGTGCCGGGCGGGCTGGCAGAGGGTGCTGCAGGGACAGACGGACGCGGACGCGCACAGAAACACACGGACACACACACGGGCTGCTGGAGGGGAGGATGCGACTGCAAAAACAACGCCCGCGACTGAGCCCAACCAGCACCAGCACGGCCCAAGAGGAGGTGCGGAACGGACCTTAAAAAAAAAAAAAAAAAGGCACTCATAAAGCCCAGGAAGAAGATCACATGTTTTAATAATCCCCTTTGCAGGCAGACAGGACCAGAGAACTGCTCGGTTGGGACCGAGAGATGTCCTAAAGGCTGAAGGGAGGCAGAGACAAAACTTGCAGATAACTAACCCTCCCTGGGGTGGACAGGAACCCCCCCGCCCTAAGCCTTGCTGTAGCAGCAGGAAGGAAGGATTCTCCAGCCCCCTCTTCCTTTCCCCCTCTCGTCTGGGCGCTGGGCATTGCACCTTCATCCCGAGAGAGCAGCCCCTGCCCACGCCTGCCCGCTGCCCCTCCCCGGGATCCGCAGCCCCCACGTCGCGGTCGGGAGCCGGTCCAGCAGCAGGGACGGCCGGGGATTGCCCGGGCACCGGCCCCGGCGAGCTGGCGTTGGGTTTGTTTTCCACTCCCCTGGCGCTCGCTGTGTGAAGCAAATCCCTCGGAGGTGGGGGAGAAGCGGCTTCCGTGACAGCGGAGGGAGGAGGGAAATAAAATAAAATAAAACAAACCAAAATAAAAAGGGAGAAGATCCAGGAAAGCACTTGCTTCTCATCATCTCTCAGGGAGCAAAGCCAGCTCTGCTCTTCTTATGACCCTCTGCTGCAGGGAGCAAAGGGAGAGAAGGTACTGGGGGGCACCTCCTAACAAAGCAGGGTTCAGGCTGCCGGGACCCCCACGCTACCCAGGGTAGCAGCAGCCTGCGGGAGGTGCGAGGAGGTCGGGAAGGTTGCCAAGGCGAACCCAGGCAAAGCCAAACCGAAGCTCCACCAAAATCAAGGAGCAGGAATGAAAGTTTCGAAATAGCATCCAGAGAAGCGCCAAGGACCCGACCGAGCAGAGCTCTCCGCCTCGCATCAGCCCTCGATGGTGCATCCGAGGCGCTGCGTCAGGGATGTGAACGTCCCCTGCCCGCTGCATGGAGAGGGGTGAGGACACAGGAAAGCTTTGTTATTTATTTATTTATTGGAAGCAATGTATGGGTGACACCCAGAAGGCATCTGAGCCCTGAATAAAACCAAACCACCTCTGGACCCAAAGGAGAACAAGAAGAATGAGACAGCAGCCTAGACCCCTACACTGAGAGGAAGGTGAGCAGAAAGAAAGAAAGAAAGAAAGAAAGAAAGAAAGAAAGAAAATACAGAAAAGCCATGCAAGCACCAAACCTGTAGATTACTGCAGGTCTTTTTTTGCTTCACTGAGGACAAATATTTTACTGACAACCATGCAGCATAAAGGCATCATGCTGATTGTGTTCTTGGAATATTTTATTTCTGGCCATGGGGAAGCAGGTAAGCAAAATAAATCAATATTGCCATTCTGAAACAATTTATCCTGAATTTAATAAGGGGAAATGGGATAGAAATCAGCTGTTTGGAAAAAAAAAAAAAAAAAAAAAAAAGTCATCTTTACATCTTTATTTTAGATTGGATTTTTTTTTATTTTCACAAGGAATTTGTGTTAGTCAATATATACAAAAGCTTCTTATTCCGTGCATTAAACAGCTTTATAGTTCAGTCTCTTTACAAAGATTTATAGGTTGTACAGGTTCATACACCCTTACAAGAAAAAAGTGTGTTAGTTCTGCAAACAAAAGAAAAGTAAGAGAGAAAGAAAGAGGTAGGTGGATTTAGGTGGATTGAGATATGCTGGGTGCTTGTTTTGAGGATGAAACATTGCCTTTCTAGGCAGGACAAGAGTGAAATGACAACATCCTTGGATAGTATCACTGTAGGAATCTGAATTATTCTCTTAATATTACTTAATATTACATCACTAAAAATCAGAGACACTGTTTAGGAATTCTTATTTATCCAAGACAGTCCATTCATTCACTGTATTCCCTGACTTAATAGTTAACACACAGTGGATGGAATTAAATTAGCATTAGAGAAAAATGGATTAGGACAGAAAGAGAAGTTGGTTAGTTGTATGTGGGTGTACAAATACATATATGATACAGGAATGGTACAGCTCTGTATTTACATAGGGACCTAAAAATACCTGGATTATGATGGAGACAAATTCTTAAAGGAAAGGAAGTAAAGCATTAGGATTTTTTTTTCTTTCTGTTGTGGTTTAATACATTTTTAAATTTAAAAGGGAGAAGTTACAAAGGTCAGGTCAGAAAAACAAAAATGATTATTGATTAAAAAAAAAAAAAATCCTTGGTGACTTTTCCTTTGAGATACTGTCTTGGGATCTCTCTTCCTGTACAGGAAAGCATACCAGTGATTCAAATTTCACCTGTATGCTCACAGTATTAGGACAGGAACAATATTCTTCCTGCAGTGATTTGAAAGCATCTTAAGTGCTCAGCTATCCTGCAGGCTCCAGAAAAGGTAGAAACTGATCAAGTATATTCAGCTCAGATTATTCCCTTGCTAGAGCCCTTCTGATAACAGACAGACTTCCACAATGGCAAGAGATATTTTCTGAAAAACTGAAAACAGCTCATGAATTTACACTCCTGTCATATTAGTATCCCATTTGGGAAAAAAAGGATGTCTGTCACAGCATGACAGAGAATGAGGGGAGGAGTGCCTTAGTCAAATGTCTTATTTTGGGCATTCCCTGGTTTCCCAGGCTAGGTTATAAGCTCCCTATAAGATGCATTTGTTGACACACAGCACAGAATGGTTACAGAGATGACTTGTAAAGTTGCTGGCACTGTTGCAGAAGGCAGCCTGTTACAAACTAGCCTAAATTTGCTCAGCATCCAATTCACTAATTGAAAAAGAATCTTCAAGGAAATGCAGCTCCCAGTCGGCTGCTTGGAAAGTGAATTTGAAGGGAGGGGGGGTGTTCTGTACAGAGCTAAACTGACTCAGAGTAATAGTGTAGGACATGGTGAATAGCAGCAAAACAACTGAATACTGAAGGTGATGCTGCTAAGGACTCAATGTCCCTTTAAATAAATATTTGGTGCTTGATTAAAAGGTTGCACTATCAGCCTGTGAAAGCACGAGGGTTATGTGGTCATTTTTTATTCTTTTTTTAGAGCTGAGAAGTATACAGAGAATTACCTTTTTGGCATACTTCCTTAGCCTACACAGTAAACTCCCTTTTCAGCTCTATAACTGATCCCTCCTGCTCAGAAGCAAAACAAATTGATGGGGCAGTTGCATGGGGCATAATATTTGTAGGGACTATAACATTTTTCTTCTGCCATCCTTGTATGGAGAAGACAGTCCAGGTTGTCAAGACTGGCTCCTTAGAACTTTAAATATAATGCCATGGGGGGGGGGAACTCCCCCCCCCCCAACAAACAAACAAACAAACCAAACACACACCACAAAAAACACAAACCAAAACAAAACAACAACAGCTTGGGCTCTTGCTTCAGCCCCAGACCTCCCCGTGCAAGCAGTGGCCTCGGGAGCAGCACCTGGGCCAGCTCTCAGCCCAATGGGAGACCTGAAAAAGAGGATGTGATGGGGTCAAAAAAGGCCATTTCTACCATCAAACTTAAAATCAATTGCAGGATCCAATTATCAGCAAGCTTTGGTTTCATCAGGTCTGAGGTTATTCGGCTCATTTGCAAATGAAGCTGTAGGTGCTGGAGCCCACTGCTGCTCCAGAGGGGATGGGGGCAGGCAAACTGCAACTGGACACAATGGAAGAGAACCCTGGCCAGGGACCTAATTCTTCTGTCCGTGTCTCAAGTCATGGAGGCACCTTGGTTTCATAGCATGTTCTGACCTTCACCTCTGGGGTGTTTATGAAGGCTGGCTCATTAGCCCCAGTTATCAGGGCTATTTTGGTGCAGAAATACATCAGGTTACTCATATATGGATGAAGGCTTGCCAAACTTACTATATGTTGGCCCCAGGCAAACCAAAGAGTTGTACAGCACTTTTGTTGTAACCAGTGTTAAAGGATAAAGTTCTAGGTCTGACTAATAAGAATTTGAGGAACTCATTTCCCCAGGGTGGTTAGCTTTAAAATAAAATTGAAAAGTTTTTGGTTATTAAGAAAAAGCTCAACAGATACATAAAAAGTGAAAAGATATATAAAACAGATATATAAAAAGTGAAATCCAGGTTGGACACACATGCTGAAACTACTCCATCAAAAACACAGCAGAAGATGCCCAAAGGTTTTACTGTTTCTCAGATCTGTGAAATTTGCTCTCCTGGGTCACTGCAGGAGAACAGAATGCAAGAAAACATAAATTTGCATATGGAAAAGAAATAAAAATTCCAATTCAAATCACTCGTGAAATATTAGGCATCTTTCCAGTTCCATCTGGGAGGCTTTTGGATAAGATGCCATGTGACCTTCCTCCTGTTGGGTATCCAATGGGGGGGCGAAAAGAAACCTGAAAAAAAAATTGAAGCTGTTTTTAGTTAATGTTTACAATGTTCTGTTGAGCTCCGAGGTTCTGAAGTAAGAAATCTCCATCTGAAATGGTGTCCCAGGAATATCAATAGTGTGACCTCCCTTGAACTGTGTGATTCCCTAATCATCGGATAACACCATTGCTGGAACACGTGCTGAGCATGTGCCATTGACCTGCCACTTTGTGGCACAGCTCCGAGGGACTAGAAAACAAACAAATAAATTAATCATATCATTTATGGAGCCAACCCACCCTCCATGGAATAAAATCTAATCAACTTCATAATAACATGCAGTGCCCATGCGTAATCAAACTGTTTAGTCCTTTATGAATTATTCAGTGAGTCCTCCTGGCAGTTGGGGTAAGTTGTTTGCTTGTCTGGTTGCTGGTTCTCTGCTGCAGCGGTTTCCCCTTGCTGTCCAGATTCAGCACTTTGTGTTGTTTCCACAGAATCACTGAGTGATGGACAGGCTGCACCGTCCTAGTGGCCAAGTAATGTTCTGCCAATTGATTTCTTTAAATACAAAGCTTTTAATCGACTGCAGATTTGTTTTCCAATCTCTCTCATTCTCTCAAACTCCCTTCTGCTAATTTGCACTTTGTTCTTCTCCCATTTTCCTAATGACACAGCAGTTCAGACAGGAACTGTTTATTGATGTTGCTGCATTAGCAGGCAGAGCAGATAAACCTTCTTGTGACTGGTGCTCAGGAGAACAAACATTTTTTTTTCTTCTCCAGGTTCAGAAAAAAAACATCTAAAAAGCTAAATACAAGGCTAATAGACCATTTATGGGAAATACAAAAAGCAGACATTCCCTTTGAAATATGTTTCCTTTTTTGCTTTCTCACATTCTTGTCTGCAAAGCTTCCCCTTATACAACTTCTTAAATTTAGAACTCCAGCATCCCATTTCCTCTGTGAAAGCTTTAGTGGTGTAAACCATCAATAGAGATGGACTTCCTTTTAATTACATGGTATATTTATCCATAATCATCCATAATCCAATAGCATTTGTAACATAGATCCTTTCCTAATAAAAACTAAGTAACCTGACTCTTACTCAGAACTAATGCTTGTTCAAAGCTCAGTTGTAAGACCAGTCCTACTGAAATTCTTGGGAGGCAAAGATGACACCTTTGTGCAGCACTGAGCAAAATCAGTTCATATTGAATCTACTTCAAAGACAGAAATTGCTGTGCCTTCCTTATTTTGGTGGTTTTTCCAAACAGTTTGGACATGAACATGATCCTAAATGTCACTTGCAAAGATATTGTTGAGGCATGCAGTTGCAGATCATTATATAAGTATAGATTTATCTTTATTTCTAGAATTCTGCATGACTCAGTGAAATTTACCCTTCAGAGCACATAAAAATTCGTAATTTCAGATGCTCTGCAAAAAGGAGGAAGCTCTAAACAACTTGTGTGGAAACCTGAATCCCTTCTAGGGCAAAGAGATATTGCAAGGAACCTCCTAGATAAAAATCTCTGAACCTCCTGGTATTCTCCTGTAACTGCACTGGGCTCAGATGGAACAAGAATTTCACAATCAGAACAAAATTACATTGAAATGGCCATCAAGCAGCTGGGATGGTGTGAGGATTTGGTGGAAGATCTCCAGTAGTGCTAAGAATCCACCTGCTCAGCTGAAGGTGGGGAACAGAGAACAGAACCAATAGAGCCAAATATCCCCATCTTCTCTCCATTCCTCTCCAGAGGATTTCAGCAACTCCTCATTTCTGTGCTGGCACCGGGAGTGCTGGTGGGACTGAGGAGAGGCAGCTTTCATTCCTTTGATCTGAAGACTTTCAGGTGCACATGTAATTCAGGCACTGCTGCCCTTGAAGCTCTGCCAGTCTCCTAGGGTTTCAATGGGATAGTAAAAAAATATCTTTGCCAGCAAACCTACTCCAAATTACCTTGGAGGTGGCTTTCACCCTAAATTTTCCTTTTGGAAAGAGAGGTGTCAATTTGACCCTTTTATAAGTACTTTGAGTACTTCAATAAGGCTGAATTGGAGACTCCTTTCTTTGACCTAACTTGATTTTGAACTTAATTTTACCTGAGGAAAGGCTGAATATAAACTGAGTAGGGATTTAAAAATTTTACCTAGAATGTTGAACTAATAGCTGACCTTTGAACTGCTCCTAGATTACCCAGGGTTTATGGTCATCCTATGTTTCATTGGGAGGGTCATTTCCTGTAGGACCTACATCTAGTCATCTGACTTGTGACCTCTTGGATTAGATTTATGACCTTGCAAGGTCAGTCTTTAACTCCTTCTAGAGTGTTAAGTTGCAAAGAGGACATGGTATGTCACTAGAAATCCAGTTTTCTCCAGCATGGTAATAAGGTTTTGGAATGACCTTTAATTCCACTTCACAAGACAGTACTGATTTTCAAACAATATTGAGACTTTGTAGTTATCCCAACCTTTTCTTAATTTGTAAATAAGTAAATATATACACTGAAGATACCAAAATTTTGCCAGTACTTGCAAACTTGGCAAACACAATGTAGTCATTTACCTCCATGTCAAGGTATTTAAACAAAAGGTAGACTTGACTTTCAGCTCTGCTATGAATTAACAACTCCCCTTGATCTTATTAGAAAAGCAGTAGAAACTCAACATTGAGTTGTAGAAATACAGGCTTTCTTTATGTATTTTTATGTGTAATTAGTGTCTATAATCTGCTGGGCAGGAACCATCTTTTTTCTTAATGTATCTACAGTGTACAGTCCAGTTTGACTTTGCTCTCTGATAACAATGAAAATAAATGCATTGAAGAGACTCAGTCCTCCAGTGCAAACCTTTACTGGAGTGAAAGTAAGAAACCACAAAATTTCCCTGGTTAAACGTACAATTCAGTAACCAACACAACTGCATTTTAAGCAGAAATCAAGGTTAAGCACCATAAGCATCAGTTTCTTAGTTAGACACCAAACACAAGGACTAGATTTACTGAGGAACTGCCTCAAAACTTAGTGTGAAAAGATGCAGCAGCTCTCTATTGAAGGTGCCCCCTTGGATGCCAGTCCCCAGATGAGGACTCCAAACATTTGCATGGTCACCTGCGTTACACCCTGAGAAGTATTTGGGAAGCTCTACTTGTTGTGTTCCTTTTGCCTGTCTTTCAGACCCCACAAGACCACGAGCCTTCCGCTGCAGTGGCCGTGCCTGCAACCCTCCAGTGGGAAACCTTGCCACGGGGAGGACACCAGTGACTCTCACCACGTGTGGCCAGAACAGCACGGAACTGTACTGCTTCTACCCGGAGCAGAACCTCCTCCACCACCCCTCCCACGGCTGTGGGCAGCCTCGCTGCACCAAGTGCAACGCCAACCAGCCTGATAACTCCCACCTCCCCGCTGACATGACGGATGATTTCTTTGCAAACCCCATCTCCTGGTGGCAGTCTGGCCAAGGGGTACACAGGGAAGAAATCCGACTGGACTTTGAAACAGAATTCTACCTGACCCACGTCATTGCTGTGTTCAAGTCGCCTCGCCCAGCTGCAATGGTGTTGGAAAGATCCCAGGATTATGGGCAGACTTGGAGGCCCTACAAGTATTTCTCTGTCAACTGTACAGCTACTTTTGGGCTCCAGGATGATCTCATTGAAGAAGGCTCCATGTGCACTTCCAGGTATTCAGATGCAGTGCCCTGCACCAGAGGAGAGGTAAGCAATAGCTGAGGCTTGGACTAAGTTTAATGTCAAACAGCTGAAGAGGGCCTGAAAACCAGAGAGTATGTGCTCAGAGGGATACTGTGCATATAAATTTAGAAAGGTAGCCCATCCCAAAGGGCTTTGTGTTAAAAAAATAAAGTGGAAGAAGAAGAGAAATTATATATCAATGAAAATGAATGGAAATACTTTAACAAATTTATTTTATGAGAGCTTCACAGAATAGATTAATGTTGCCTAATTGTACACTGTAGATGCTAATAACTGGGCTAGAATTCCAACAAAGCAGACATAGGGAAATACACATCTATAGAGTCTGATTTATCCAAACCATTTTCCTACTCTAAGATGACATGAACTGCATGGCGTTTCACTTTCTTTTCCGTATAAATAATTCCTAGGTGATTGGATGACTTTTAAACACATCATTCCCCCACGTTTAATGTAGTTTTTCTTGCTGGTGGTGACTAGTGATTGTATCAAGAAGGCTTCAGAAATGAAACTGCTTGGAAGCGAGAAGTGGGAGTGAGCACTAGGCTTCACTATTCAACAATGGGAAAAGCCCCTCCCTTTGTATGAATATTCTGATATGTTATTATGCAAAAGGACTTTTTTAAAATAAATGCTCGGTTGCTCTGGTAAATTCCTCTGACAAGAACATTAACTACTCTTAGTAATCACTCAGTTTAGTTATAATTCCTTTCATTCATCAATTTTGAAACTGTTTAGATGGGAAAGAAGGTAAATATCATTGGTATCATTTTATAGAGAAGACATAAATGTACAAAGGGAGATCATAAAATATTCCTACAGTCACAACAGAGGCTGAAGTCATTTCACTTCCTTTTATGTCCTTCTCTCTTCCTTGGAGAAGTCACAATCCTTTTGGTTTCTCTGCCTGGAAGTGATCATGAAGGTTCATCAGTATTCTTTGCTGCAAATTAGGCTTAGGGGTGAGGTGATTGGTCCGGACAGGCTTCAAAAAATCCTGTGTTCTAGCAGTGCACTTCAAAATGCATGTGAAAAGAAGCTAGTGTACTATACCTGAGACAGGGAAACAGCAGTAGGAAGAGACAGAGTTCATCCTTGTGCAACAGGCTAAGAAACATCTCTGCATATTAGAAATCTGGAGCAGATCATCTGACTACTAAACTGTCTTATTTCTGGGAGTAGTAATTCTGCTGGTCAGTTAGGATGATTCATTTAAGTCAAATACATCCAAATGTCTTCTGGAGAGGGATTACAATTTGCCACGTCAACACAGAATCACGGCAAGTAATATAATTCTCCACTCTTGTGTGCCTTCCAATCAGAAATCTGGAAGTACTTTGCAAGATCCAGTTAATGATCTTCAGCACACATACAAGAGTCCTGCTGCCATTTAACAGATGGGGAAAGAGCAGCACAAAAAGGTGAAGTGTTTTGTGGTAAAACAGGACAATTCCGGTCAAGAAGGAGACAGAATGCAGGGTCTGAGGTAAATGCCTTGGCCTTAAATGCAAAACAACTCTTCCTTCTCTAGAACAGTTTCCCTGTTGCCCTGCACTATGCTGGCTTTTGTGCTTCCTTAACCTTGGGGATTATCATTAAGACCATGTGTTGCTGCTACAACAAATCTGAGAAGTGGATGGCAGAAAATCAAATAATAAAACATTCATCCAACACAAGTCTTTGTTTACAAGTGTCAAAATGATTCTGTCAACTTGGGCAGCAACTACACTGAAGTGAGTATATGTATGCTTTATCAATCTACTCTGTGGTAGTAGATGTCAGAAAGCAATAGTGACAGTAAGAACAGTCCTATATTTACAGGTTATACCCTTGCAGATCCCAAATACTTCCATGAACATGAATGGAATATATAGAGAGGTCACTTCCTCCACGGGAGGAGTGCTGAAGCTTTAAAGCAGCACACAGGAATCTGTATGGCAACTTAACAGAGAGCAAGACACTGTTTCACAGCACGCTAATCCAGAAGGATTGTCAAGTCCTGGACAGACTTTACAGAGACCTCTTAATCAATCCATGAAATGTCACTATTGCAAGGATGCAGAAGCATCAGGCTTTTCAGGTCAACAGCATGACACAGCAGATTCTTTTGTGAATTGAAGTAAAGGGAGGCAGAGTACAGTTATTTAAAGTGATACCTGATCAGATTTGCCTGAGTGACACTGCTGCTGTTACTACTACTAACTAATGTAGAAATGCAAGGGGATTACTTTCTAATATCTTTTTTCCATTTTCTTTTACTCAAGTGTTTATTAAACCCCTTATTCCTGTTCAGATCCAGAGTACTTTTGCATATAGAATCTATCTATCTGAGATCCTAGGATCCCCATCATTAGTTCATGAACTAAAACCAACCACACATTTTTAAGGTCTGTTCATCTACTATAGGTGCATCTACAGGGAATACTGGCATGGAGCCTTATGCATCAACTGAGACCTTTTTTACCTACTTGTCCATCTATTTTTCTAACTTAAAAACACTGTACTATATAGTCATGGAGCCTAAAATGAGCCTTGAGGTCAGCTAATACAAATTAAAACTCAAGGCCAAACAAAAGGAGAAATTATCACAACACTGTTCCAGACTTTAGTGTGACTTACAATTCAAACATCATATGGGGTAAACACTGATCAAAATGTTTGAACCTGCATCCTGACACCACGTGTGCTCAAGGATCTGAGAGATTAGGAGCATATTTTTAATAAACTGGAATATCAGGAAGTGGAAACAAATGTTCTTCTCCATTGAACTTGATATTTGCAAGAAAGAAAGTCGTTAGCATGCAAAGTGGGGTGGAACACTGACCTGCTCACAGTCCCCAGACCCAAAAAGAGACCCCTTCCCTATTGGGTCTAGCTAGTGGAAGGGAGGTTTGAATCAAAGGCTGGTTCATTTATGTGAGTGTCTCTGTGACAGATGACACCAATGAAGTGTGATATAATAAACCCATTACTGGAATTCACTGGGGGCTGGAAGAATTGTGTATGCCTGAATTAAGTAACTGGTTCCTATGGCAACGTGTTAAGTGTGCCTTGCACAGAAGACCTGTTCATTCTCCATTTTGTATCCTGTGGTGACCTCTTTAGGGACAGAAGTCCCCAGCAGTGCCTTTTGTCAAAGATGAGTGGACCCTCTTTGTAGCTAAAAGATGTTTAATCACTCTTCTAAACACACTCAGTGAATGCCAGATCAAGACATGTGATGGGACACACTTCTGTCTACTCCAAAAGCCACCAGCTTGTTCAGAGAGAAGCCAAAGTCAACCCTGTGGAAGGCCTTTTCTTCTGCACTGACACTGAAGGTCTCTGCTGCCTTTCTCCATCCACAAGGACTTCCTGAGCAATAGCCGTGGCAGAGAGTCACCACTTGCATCCAGACACCAAACCAGGCTGGGAACAGGGCTCTGTGTGGAATGTGTGTGATCCTGTTCCAAGGACTATAATTTTTGCTGTCTTTCCTCAGGCTTTTCTTTTACTGTATTCATGCCAAACCTTTTGGTAAATAGAGGGGCATCCCCTGTGTGGGGGCACACACACACACACACACACACACACACACACACACCTCATTAAGTGGCAACATCAATAATTCAAGAGGTCGCCACTGAAGCTTCAGTGACTTCTTAGAGTTCTGATCTCATATGGCAGTGGGGTCACTGAAAACAAACATGCTCAGCACATCATAAGGTTGAATTCCTAGTAGCTAAGGTGTAAGGACAGGGTCTTGCACTGCAGCGAATTGTCCAACAGTCATCAGGACTGGCCTCTGGAAGTTGCATGATGCACATGTTATTCCAGCTTCCAGCCAGAAAGAATTCCAGGAGGGATTAGTCACTAGTGAAGGTAAGTGCCTGGTTGTTATGACTAGGGCTGTCTGTTCAGCATTTCCTTTAACTTGAACTGTGGAGCAGATTGAATGCAGAGGCAAGCTGAGAGGAAGCAGTTAACACCAGCAGTGTAAACAAGCAGACAGCACTGCCAGGCCCTGCTTCCCTGGAGGAAAAATTAAGGCAAGGATTTGTCTCTGAAGGGAATTTGAACCGATGAGACTAGTCCAGCAATCCCATCCCTGGCAAGCGAACTTGAGGAGGGCACCAAGTGTCCTTCTCTGACCTGGTTTGTAATTAGCCATGTCAGAAACATGCGGAACATGATAAACCAGCCAGAAAGATGCAGCAGTGGTTTTTTTTAGCATTGTTTCTGCATTTTGTGCATTTTCTGAACATACAAGGCAGCAGATAGTAAATTATTTTTTCTTCTCACTCTGTTTCATAAAATCTTAATGGAGTTGCAGGCATTACTTTTTTTTTTTTTTTTCCCCCAAGTCTCAACTGTGAAAAAAAATTACTGGCTGAAATGCTATAATCTAAGTAATTTATTGTTGTAATTTTTAAACTCCAGGCAAAAGAACATTTAAATGTTTGCTCTACAGTTGGCCACACATCACTGTCATGGTGAGACTATACACTTAGCTAAGTTCTATTCATGTGTAAGATTCCAGCCAAGACCTAGAGATACAAGTGGCTCCACTTAAAAGAAATGGATGCTCTCCCATGAGAACACAGATTGGTTGACATGCGTTGACATGATGGTGATGGGTTGTTTTAACTTTCCCTGACAATTCAGCAAACAGTGAAATGAGTCTCCTCTTTCTCAATCCGGTTCCAAGTCAGGCTGTTGCATCACAAACTCCTTGTGCCGCCCTTCACCATTTCAGAGCAAGGACCACTCCTCATAATAAAAAACAACAGTGCACTTTGTGGGAGCATGGAAATGTTCTCACACCCACCATGAGGTGCTGCTATGTAGAATGGAAGGAGTTTTGCCCATTCCCTGTACACAAACTGAAAGCTGAAGGGTTTTGAGTCAAATAATCTCCACCTGTCTTGAAAGAGGATCCTCCTCCTCCCTGCAACCCTTGCCTTTTTACACAGATGTGCAGCTGCAGAGAACCTGAACTTACAGCATGCAGTTTGTCTGAAGAAGAGAAAAAGTCTGCATGGCTCTTCAGATTTGTCTGTCTAACTCCAATTGTGCCATTCATATTGGCAGCACTGCCTAAATATTAATATTAATGCCACACTGACTGGATTACTGAAATAACCTCAAAGCAAATGCAAACTGAAAGGACATCATCTCTTTCTGATTTGCAGAATACAGAATGAATTCAAGATGCCATTGTCTTGGTAGTAGTTGAGTTTACCCAGATCAAATAAACTAAAAAAATCAAATACACAATTATTTCTTTAACAAACTATCATATTCTATACTGGTTGTCAAGTTTTCTTCTCTGGAAGGACAGAAAAGCAGTGGATCTTGACTAAAAGGCACTATTCCATGGATTGTCAGAATAAGCCTTCTAATAGCTAAGAGAACAGCCAGATTTTGTGTTCCAAAGAGTAAATCAGGAAAAAGACTACTTCTTAGTTAGGACTACTGCACCACAAGATGGAAGTCAAGGGGCTCCATCAAATAAATCAGAGGATATATGCCACTGGGTAGGAAAAATTGAGAGACAATTGTTTACTATTCCTTTAAGAGCAAAATCAACTCACATGAAAATCTCTTAATGAAGAGGATTTAGGACTGATGAGAGCTTTTATTGCAGCTTCCTTCTGATGGACCTAGTATAAGCACACAGACATTTCTGACTTCATTAACCTGATTGAGTGCAACGTGATCGACATAGCTTAAGGATTATTTGTAATATCAAATTCTTGTTCTGCACAAGGATCTTCTTTTGTAGCAGGCCATGCATTGGCACTGCCCTCCATTTATGATTCATATTCCTTGACCTTAGGCTATGAGATTGCAAGGGGGAACCTTTGTTGCGTCCACAGCTTTTCTGACTAATACTGGCTGGAAGATCAGGTTAAGAAAACAGAATTAGATGCATCAAGAATGGAGAAGCAAAACCTATGGCAAGAAATCAAAAATTTGAGACACTGTCTCCGGAATGAAGATGATCTCCTGATCGGTGATAAAACAATGTGAGGCTGTGCCAACTTACAGCAAAACCAAACCTCTAACAGTGGCTACCTTTTCTAGCTTTGCACATTTACAGACTTCTCCGGGCTTTCTTGCTCTTAGAAAAGACAGGGGAGGACAGGGTAGACCTTTTGAGGTGCAGCTGATTGACTTCTGAAAATGAGAATGACAAATATGCACTTGATAGCAGATATGGAGATAAGGGTGGATGTCCTACTCAGCATTCAGCTCCAGTGTCAGCTCCTGATTGTAAGGGAAACTCAGGATCTTGAATGCACTTCCACAAAAGGTTAAACTATAGAGGTGCTGAACACTCTCAACTTCCACCCAAATCAGTGGAAGTGGAAAGATTTCTAGGGTGTTCCTTAGCAGACCCAATCACCATTAGATTTTCTTCTGCAGCTGTTCATATGCTACTTTTGTGACAGCTGCAAACTGATGTTTAGGGAAACAACCGAGAGGCTTCAGAGCACTCTCTTACAGCAAAACAAAAAACAAACAAACAAACAAACAAACAGTGCTTGATATTAGATAGAGATTTAATTAGATGAGAAATAACTTTACATCATGGGAAGCTCTTTTCAAAACTTGCATCTTAATTAAAAGAAAACACTTCTTTTTCGTTATACCCTCTTCATGGCTTTTACATGAGTATAATGGAAAACTGAAAATTCACATGGTATCTCTGGGAAATAAAAAGCAGTGATATTTATGCCTTTCTGCAAAAGGCAGAAGTCAAATGTCTATGTGTACAGAAGGAATCTGCTTCATAAGCATTAGAAATACAAACCTTGTGAACTCAAAAAAAAAGGAATAAATAAGTGAAAAGGTAGAATGTCTCTTCCTACAGCTCATGACTCTAGGAGTTTAGTAATACTTTGATCCATTTGCAATCTAATCTTTAAAACATTTAGGCATTAATGGTGGTGACTGCTAAACTCTTATCTTTTACCTATACTTATTAAAACTGCGTGTGTTGAACATCCATCTCCAGGGATTCTCAGATAATTTTACAGATACAAATTTACTAATCTTCCTCCTATTCCACGAAGTACTTGAATACCTGTATCCCATTAACAACAATAACAACAACAACAAAAAAAACCCCAAAACAACACAGCAACAACAAAACAACATAACAACAACAAACAAACAACAAACAAACAAACAAACAGGACATAAAACAGATTCCTCCTATTCCTACTGGCAATCCAGAACAGTATGAGGCCCTAGTTACTTGCTGAAAATTATACTGAACAATCATGCTAGGGATGTAACCAAACAGTTGCATTCCCAACTCTGTATTTTGGTTAAAGTGACAACTTCTCCTTTTTTACAGGAATAGATTTCTTCCCTGAATCATATAAAATTATCAACCAATATATACAGCCACCACCAATCTGTCTCCTAATTTAGGATCCATTTCTCCTAAGGGAACTATAAACCCAAATACATTTATGGAAAAATAATTCAGGGCTTGTAAGATGAAACATCAGTTCTTTTTAACAAATTTATCCCACTCTAGAATTATTTGAATCAATATATAAAGTAGACTAATAAGGATAAATTATGGATACTAATCTGTTTCTCAAGAATTATTGTTCTTAACAGTGGGGCAATACTTAAGTTAAGCAAGATCAGATGACTGGCACTTTAATGTGAGAAGAAACATCCAATCAAATATCAAATATTAAAAATTAGGCAGGAGATAGTGATTACAATATACTCTTCCCTGTGCTCAAGGGTTTTAACCATCAGTATTTAAAGGAGAATGTGACATCCAGAAGAGAAGAAAGAGGGAAATCCCATTTTCCAGTTTTATGCATATATGAAATAGCACTGCTAAACTAATTTAATTATGGAATAAAACTGCTACCTCTGTGCAAAATGCAGCTCATTTCAACACAGTTCTATTGGCACAACACATCTACTCTGACTTTGCTGGTACAAAATGTCTTTATTTAAAAAAGTTCTCCGTATCTTTGATTTTTACAAAGTTAAGGAAGGTTAATTCCTTAGTGCTTGTTGAACTCAAGAAGAACATTTAAGTGCCACTCCCAAAAGACCTCACTGGTGTTATGTCACCCACATCAGATCTTTAACACTTAACAAGACTTGCCTTGGGAGAAATAAGGACAAACAAATCCAGTGTTACCACTGAGCCTATTCTAGACAGAAATGTGTCATAAATTAATCATACAAGCAAACTCTTGTACCTCAGCTGGAAAGGAATACTGTTTTTTCTTAAAAGGATGCCACAATCCCTGTGGGACTTCCAGGCTATTAATGTCTCTACTCACAAATGATGTTCAGTATTCTAAGGGGAAATGGAAAATGCCAAAGCAACTCCCCTCAAGAGATGCAAGGCCAGAAATGAAAATATTTGCAAAACAATAAGCCCAAAGGAAACCAAACCTTTTTTCCAAGCTGTCAAGCAGAGAAACAAAAAACAATACAGCTCTGTGAAAGCAAATGGCCCTATGCTGAGAGAAGAGCACCCAACAACAGCTGTTCTTTTGCCTGAAGAACTCAGTGCCTTCTGAATGCCAATTAAGACATGGGGAGGAGAGTTTCACAAGGACTTTTAACCATTATTTGAGATCTCTGACCTTAGCAGGCTCTGAAGAACTTTTCCATCCAATTCACTGTCTTGGTCTTAGTTTAACTGACCACATGGGAGGAATATGTGTGTGCCTGTATTTGACCAACTGATCAGGACTCTGAGAAACCATTCCACCTTTGTGTGGTCCACAGGGGACTGGGAAGAAGGAGAGAGGGTTCATATAATGTTTTACACACACACAAAAAAAATTAGGTTTAGGGGAACTGGACAGAAGAGATTTGGTCTTTGCCCTGTGAATTCACCAGTAAGAGAAATGCTGGGCACCTGAACAAAATAAAATGAGCCATTTGCTTGTGGTTCCATTGACCAGGGGAACATAGACAATGGGGTGAAAAGGCCTGGGCTATTTTGTCATGGCTTCATTGCTCAAACAAGAAATCATGGGCACCTCTGATCTCACCAAGCAGGGCTGTTTGCAGTTTTGGAAGTAGCTGACGATATAAGAGAATTAAAAGAAAAAAAAGGAATGGAGCTTACCAAATAGAAAATGCTGGGGAAAGGTGGGAAAGGTACCACTGCCTTTGCAATGGTACTGCCAGGTGTAGCTCTGTGCAAAGCCTGGCAGCTGATTCTGTCAGCTCCAAGGGTTTTTGTCTCCCCATGTGCCATCAACATGCAGCAGAACTATCTTCTAGGCATGTACCACAAGCTCTGTTTTTTGGTTCCTGCGAGCAAAAAGGAGCAAGAGTATTTTACATGCTGCAAGTATTTAAATTGGTCAGTTCACTGGGAATAAAGAAAAAGAAAAACAGAAAGAGGGAATCCCTATGGAAACAAAGCTTTAATTCCACTAACACTAATGGAGTGAGTCAGACGGGCACTGTGACCACTTACGAAGCAGGGCCAAGGAATCCCAAAGGCAAGTGCCTCTGCCATGATGGAAAAGCTCAAGCAGAGCTGAAAACAGCTCTCAAATTGGATTTTGCACATCTAAACCTGGGAATAGTGCAACCAGTTCTCCAGTTCACTGGCAAAGACTGTGGTGCAGCCCTTCATTATCAACGTCTTCCAAAAGCAACAGACACCCCAGGGAGAGAAGCTTAAACTAAGGCATTTCCTATCTCACACCTGGGATGGGATGAAAGCAGGTACACAATCACTTGCTGTGGCTTGGCCAGGTGGTGGTAACTCAGCTGTGATGCTCTGGGGTCAGCCACAGACTCACAGCTGCTTACACAGAGTCATCTAAATAGGAATTATTACTTTTTCCTGAACATTGTTTTGGGATATTTGCTGTGTATGCAGAGTCCTATATCTGTTCTGGGACGTGTATGTTCTATCTTTCAGGTGATTTATCGTGCCTTAAGTCCAGCCAACAAGATCGAAGACCCCTATAGTCCTGAGGCTCAAGATCTCCTGAAACTCACCAACCTCCGCCTCCTTTTGTTAAAAAGGCAGGAATGTCCATGCCATGGTTCAGGATTGGTAGAGAAACCTCAGAGGTTTGCCCACTATGCTATTTATGACCTAATTGTCCGGGGCAGCTGCTTTTGCAATGGGCACGCAGAGGAATGTGAGCTGCTCAACAGGACGGGAGTCGTGGACAACATGGTGAGTTCCAGACAGTCACCAACCACCTAGACTTGCTACTTACTTCATACCACCACTCTTTTCTCCATGCATCTTTTTAATCAGGTAGAATTTTTTTTTGAAGCAAAATTATTCTATAGGTACTATGACCAGCCCTATGAGTTTATTCTTTCGTAAGTGTTTGACCCTGGATGTGCAGAGGATGGGAGGTGTGTTTGTATGCACACAAAGAAGTTGCCACTCAGAGGGAATGACTGCTGTCTCCTTTTTGATTTAGCTTCAAGGATTATGTAGAGAAATGTAATAGCAGTCACAGGAAGATTAAGATAATCAAATATCCAGGTACATCTAAACACATCACTGACAGAATTCAACCCACTTTAAACTAGTCAATGGCTCCACTGGTTCCAGAAGGCTGTCTGTCTCTGTGTTGGGTTTTGAAAACCCAAATAACTCTTAGAACTTTAGTCCCTGGTGCACTCTGACATCACAGTCTCAAGAAAAACATCCTAAGATAATTTCTGTCCCTTTAGAAATATGGTACACTTGATATTTTGGTGTATTTTACTTTGGAATGTGTAATCTTTGTCTTCCTTTCAACTTTTCTATGTTCAGAGGTAGATATTTTAAGATAATTAGAACTGTATGACTTTCACAATACTTTCAAAATCATTCTGAATCTCTTCCATCTGTGGGATAATTTCAAGATTCAGCTACACTAAGTGATACTATCAGATTCAGATAATGTGGACTCACTGAAACCATAACTGTGTTGAGAAAAGCTGTTTAAAGAGTGCATCCTCCCTACTGCAAACTATTAAATATACACATAGTGAAATCAAATAGATGAATAACATGCTAAATGAATACAGCTGGTAGAAAAATAAACATTCTGCCCCTCCAAAAAGGGAAACACAATATTGTGTATATCACTGGCATAAGCACTGTAAACTATGACTGGATATTTTTTCCCACTGGTCACAAGGGAATAGAATCTTCTTGTGCCATCAATGACTTCACAGGGCAGAAGGTGAAATAGTTCTGAAGAACTGCACTTCATGAGTGACTCATGTCCCAGGAGACAAGAGGGTGGATGTAGCACGATTCACACACTCTTTGCCTAAGCAAATCTTTGCCTAAGCAGAGGTTCAAACACAGAAAAAGTAAGAAAAGCTTTCCAGAGTTTTAACTGCCTCTAGAATCCTAGATGAGGCCTGGAAAAGACCATAAGTGAACTGTTTGGAGTCCTCACATAAGTGCATGATCAAGCACACTGAAACCACTCACTGGTAGATGTTTGTTGAATTAGATTTTTTAAATTTCTGATGAAGGGGAATCAAACCCTCAGTAGCTGTTCCAATCCTGACATTTTGAAAGCTCTTCTTTAGTGCCTGCCTCAATAATCTCTGCTGCAAATTCAGGTGATTCTTTCTTGTCCCCTCTCCCTCAGTGTCACGGAGAGCAGTTGTTCTTCATCCTGCAGATACGACTGGAAGGTTCTTACCATGTCCTTCCTTAGGTTCTATTATTTGTACTAACCAGAAAAATGTGAAACCCTAAGTGGTCAAAATGTAACATTCTACACACAGGTCATACAAGCCTGGAGTAAAGATGATCGTGGTATTGTGCTCCTCTTTTCTGTGCTTTAGTTATGACATCCTAGCTCTTTCTCAAATACACAATGAAAATCCACCCCTGGAAGACCCAGGTTGCTGGATCCTTTTACAGTTTATCTAATACTTACCAATGATGATATTGTAATGTTCAGGGTTTGTTTACACGGGCAGCATGAGGGAGTTTATGTGTGTAACTTTGCATCTTACAATACAGTAATCTCCTTGCCCACACACAGGAGGAAAAGGCCTTTGTTGTTGAGGAGTGAACACCAATGACAGTTTCTATCAGCCAAACTACATTGCAAAAAAAAATCTTTGTCATTTTGCAATTTCTTGGCAGAGGGAAGGTGCTCTACTTTCAGTCACATGGTGACTGAAACAGGGTGTGGAAAAGAGCTGTTAGAAAAAAACACTGCACATCCAGAAATAATTTGATTTATTCCACTGCCCACATCTAATATTTAATGTACACATGGGCCAAGAAAGTCTCAAGACACACAGATTGTAACGTGGCTGGTGTGGGTGATGCCACAGAATGAAGGCAGAGCAGCTTCATGTTTCCTAGGCTGCTGTCAATTAATTAAATAAAATACTGGAAAAATACAGACCTCCACAGCAAGGCTTAAGTAATATGAGTTTCAGCCTCTTAAAGAGTTCAGAGTCCTCCTATGATGTGCATTTGTCTTCAGTAGTTCACAAAAACAAAAGCAATTTCATGTAGAAAACAACTGTGATTGGATAGGCCCAAAAACTGAGATCATTCTACACTTAGGTCTTGAAAAAGACATGACTGTGCTAACTTGTAAGTCTGCTCTTCTTAGTCGTGACAGAAATCTGTTCCAGTTGTAGTACTTGTAACACTGCTAGACCATGGGCTAAATAATGCAGAAAACTACAGCAAATTTCTTTACACTTTTCAGCCAACACTTTTCAACACCATTTCTTGGGGGACTGGATGATCTATGATTACTAGATGATCTGTCAGTGATCAGTTTATCTGTGGATCTGTCAGTTCAGTCATGACAACCCAGTCAGTGTCTGTGTTCTCCACTGAGGCTGCCAGTAAGAAATGCAGCTCTATGAGAAGAAATGTCTCAGATGTCCCAGTGTCATAGCAACAAAGGAATACAAGAAAACTGAAGATTGTAAACCAACATCCAAATGGTGCATCATTCCTCATAGCTTGAAATCCTGCATAGTTTCATGCATATTTTCTCTGGTCATAAGTTTGTGAAAATACAGTGAGATTCAAAGGAGACCCATAGGATCCAAGGAAAATGTTCTCTGACTTCTTTTTTCTGGCAGCAAACCAGTAATAATTACTCTATCAATGTGGGTTTAAAAAAAAAAAAAAAAAAACAAAAAACAAACAAGCCATGCACCCACCTCAACATAACTTATCACATTTCCCTTATGAACTACTGAGAATATCATGTTAGAAAGGAGGAAAACTTTGAGAAATGAAGATGGGATCTGTAAACAATGGGCAAGAAACTTCTAGACAAACATATCTTGAATTTGGGGTTTGTTGCTATTGACAGAGATGTTTTCTTGGTTTCTATTTAACTTTCCTCAGACTAAAAAAAAGACAGTGATGTCATTCTACCTTACTTAAATAGTTTCTTCTGGTAGCTAAGAACACAATTCTCCTTTATGAATTTTGCAGCCTGCATTATTCAAACTTTTTCAAGTAGCTTCTCTGTCAGTAAGGGAAATTATTGAGATTGCATTTTGCCACAGAAACTACAGAGCAGCACGTACTTTTAAATAGAGGGCACCAATATACCAGGACGTGGCCACCTGAATGCATCTACTCTTCTACAACTGGATGCAAAGGAACATAATCCTGTTCCAGGTATTGCTGCTGTAGGATGTACAAAGTTATGTGTTGCTCTGCAGTGAATTATTTTTTTATCAAGTTCCAACAAGGATAGTAAGAGCTGTCAGGTTTAGGATCTGCTTTGATGACACATTTAAGCTGAGCCCAGAGATGCTTCCAGAACAAAGTTTACAAAGCAGAAAGTGCACATGGACAGAACACAGAAACTAGACCAAAGTCCTTTTTGTTTGCCAAACATTTCACAATTCTCTTTCTAGTCCATGAGAAGTAAGTATGGACAGAGGAAAGCGAGTGTGGATTAAAATGTTTTTGTATAAAGAATTAGTAGAGGTTTTTTTTACTTGTTAATTATTGGTACCTACACTGCCAGGAAATTCTTACAAGTGGCCTCGGATGTTTCTTTTGCCTCTTTATCCTGTTTACAGAGACAAACTAGACTCCCTGTGGGTCTGATCCTCCACAATGAAGCAAATGGAAAGTTTTCCACTTAGTTCAAAGGGAGTAGGATCTGGTTCTAAGTAGGATTCCTTGTTTGGCATAATGGAAGTTACATGATGTAAAACTTGTTTTTCTACATCAGTTTTCTAGGTGCCTTGGCTCTTGTAACCCTTGCAAATGCTATCTACCTCCTCTTCAGATATCTTGTGCAGTTATGATAATCCCCAGCTAAGTTTTCATATTATCTGATCCAAGCTGTGCCAGGCTGTATGATGTTCAGCACTCAGAGATGCAGGTGGTGCTCTCTGTTGTAGCTGGCAACTCAAAAAGTATATTTTGTTTAAGAAAAAGTTACTTGTGTACATCAACTATGGGAGTAGGTTCAGGAACGTAAAAAATAAAAAGGTTTCAAGAGCTTCTAGATCACATGAGAATAAAATCTAAAACCAGAGCCCTGCACTGACTTTTTTTCCAAAAATTAAAACTGAATATAGACTTCAAGCTATGGCCATAATGATCTGGAAACATAGAATATCATATAAATTATGCCAGCAAAAGTTAGTAATGAATTACATGAACTACATGGAAAGAAAGTGGTGTTGCTGCCACCTTTGCCACTCAAAGTGGGCCAAAGCTTTTCACAGGAATCCTTGTGGGTACCTGCAGGTGGGTGAGAAAGTTTCAGGTATTTGTGTTCAGAGATGACAACGAAGATGACAGGAGAGCATCAAGGAAAGTTTCTCTTTAATTGTACTGGATAGTGTTGGTGAGTTTCTGGTTCCCCAGGGCAAGATGTGCTTCAAAACTGTGACTCTAAATGACTATTAACTTCTCAAACAATTACTTAGATAAAAGTTGGAAAAGGATATTCAGACTTGTCTTGTCACTGGTCACTCCAGAAGATCCTCTCTCACAAAAGTCACCAGAACCCTTAACTTACCTACACAAGTCTAAAAAAGAGCTTTCCTGTACATCCCATGCTTCTCCTGTTGTTCCAGGAAGACTGGCACTTTAAAGTACTGACCCCATTCCTGCCAGGAATCACATCTTGGCCAACCCAAAAATCAACACCTCTGTCCTTCTGAGTTATTAAAAATTTGACGTCAAGCAAAAATATGGTACGTGTT